AATATGCGTAAATTTGTTATATTTATATTTAGAAAACCCATTGGAAGATGTTAATATTAAACAAAGTTATCGTTAACCTGTAAATCGTTTGTTCACTTAATTTCCCTTATTCAGCAATACGCTTCAGCTTATCAATTAGTTGAACAAAGACATGTGGAGATATGCATGACAAGCTTATTTTGTAAACAGTTTTTGATGTTATTTGTATTTATTCTGTCAATTTTTCAGTGCATGTACATTTTTCATTAAATGATTGTACGTGTTGTTTAAGTTTATGACCTTGAACACCTTTTCTTCCGTCGTGTTACTTTCATAGCAAGACACACGCTGTCACGTACTAACAAATACAATGTTACACACATACCTCTTCTTCTCCATTCGCTCGTGATTGTGTGTGGTGTTTGAATGGACTAATGATACCTTTGTACTGGTTGAATGCTTGATTTCGAATTCCAAATACAATACATTCGTTTGTGCTTGTGTCTCACTTCTTAATTCAATTGCGTTATTTCCGGGACTCTTAGTTCGTGCTATAATTCAAAGAATTCAGAATATTATATTGTGTTAATTGAACTCTTACTCAAATACAGTTTACATTTATAGACTATAATCGAAATATATCATATTCTACATTTGGTTATACCACTGGAAGAATATCAATCTTACAGCAATCTTCAATCATCTATAATTGTAGATTTTGGTACAAGACTCAACCGGAACACTCACAAACCTGCTGAATTAAGTAAAGTCTCTAGATTTTGTTGTGTTTATAACATTTTAAGTGATAAATTGACATTACTGTTTGTACTTCATAACTCTGTTATCATTTTTGACTTCATGTATTGTTTGGTCCACCATAATTATCTGGTGAGCCTCGAGTGTATTATGGTCGTTATATTGCTTATATTTTTACTTGACACCCTAGTTTATTTTCCACATTATGTACTCTCCAAATAAACTTATCGACATAGATTGCCCTCCAGTGAATCCCCTCAATTCATCGCATTCAAACGATAATATTTTAAGCTCAGTTAACACCATTTTCGAGTTCAGACTACTGGCATACGGTGCCGATAACCCCAGGATCTGGTTTGCGCTAATAGAAGCCTTATTCTTAGCGAGAGGCATACGTCCCCGGGCGACCAAATATGCCTATGTTGTCGGCTGACTTCCCATTGAAACCGCTACGGAAGTCGGAGATTTGATCGACCATGTACCAGAGACTGATCCTTACGACAAAATTGAGGCCACCGTAATACAACGTACATAATTCTCTGATGAAAAAAACTACAGCAACTGCTTACATCATGTGAACTAGGGGACAAGAGACCATCAGAGTTGCTACGACATATGAAACATCTAGCGGGTCCATATAAATTAGATGAAGCATTACTTAAACAAATGCGGTTCCAAAGACTACCACATTACGTGAGATAGATTCTTAGTGCGTCGGGAAATTGCGTCAATCTGGTAGACCTAGCAGAGATGGCGGACAGGATGATGGAGATCCACCATGATATCATTGTGTTAATGCGATACAGACCTCTGGTAAGGAAGATACGAACACCACATTTAACATCCAGCAACAGTTAACGCGGTTGACATAATTACAGGCTACTATCACAACTATCCATTCTCAACCGGCTAGATCCACGACTAGGAAATGACCAGATTCTAGACAGCGCCCTAAATCACCTAGACGGGCAGCTGGAATTTGTTGGTACCATTTGAAGTATGGTAGAAAAGGACGGCGCTGCACACAACCGTGCAACTTCACAACAAACAATCATGAGAACTAGGGAAACAGTAATGGCGACGTCTGTTGCTGGCCAACATGCCACTCGCCTCTTCCACATCAGGGACCGTATTTCTGGCCCAGACGTTTTAGTCCATACAGGAGCAGAAATCAGCATAGTCCCACTGCACCTCTCTCGTCAACAACAAACAACAAATACCAAGTCGCTACTCATTGCGGCTAACGATACGGTCATCAAAACCTATGGAGAGTAATCCCTCATTTTAGACCTCGGACTCTGGAGAAGATTCACATGGGTTTTTATAATCGCCCACGTCAAACAAACCATTCTCAAGGCCAACTTTCTTAGCGCCGACAGTCTATTAGTAGACATGAACAAAAAGAAGCTGATTGACAAAAATACACGTTTGCCGGTGAACGGTACACTAAACACCGACTAAGAAATACATGGTGTACGAATAATGGAACCTGTGAACAACCTTTTTACCGATATCCTGACTAAATACGAGTGCGTCACTAAAGCGGACTACCGAAAAGAATGCAGCATACATCATATGAAACACCACATTTCTGAGTTCGTATATTGTTTGGTTCATCACAGACATAAGTTTTAAATCAGAAAACAAATAGATAGCTTTCCTGCTTAATAGATACAATTCTGAAGAAAAAAATCAATCGAGAAACAAACGGTCAAACTTCATCAAGAGTATCAAATTCAACAAGCAAATGTAATGGCAGCAAACAGAACGTACCTTCAAGTGTTTTGCCTGTTTTAAACAATGCTCTTCATTTGATGATCATCGTAGAATATCACCTAGTTATTTATTGTTGGCAAAGGAATTACAGAAACTTGAAGCAGTACTATAAAATTTTAGAAAAGTACAATTACAGTGTTTATAATGCTATTAGAATCTACAGTTTACATGGAATAATGGCATCATTTGAAAGCACTATTTTGATATTACTCATTCAAATGCATTGGATTTTTTTAATAATTTGGTCAGTGGTTGCAGATTCTATTTACAGAAATTTATTTGCAATCTCTATAACAGACACATTATAAATTCGTATCCACTAACAACATAGTTCAGTCACCATATTTGAAACATACATGCATCGTTTTACTTATGATGAATATGTCCCTATTAATGTAAAGCTGTGATGTTATATGCAGATCCTGTATATGTTCATAAAAATGGAAAAAACGATTATCAACGTTAACCATTTCTCACATAAATTTTTTTTCTCAGATAATAGATAGGCACGACAACATTATGTCAGTTCCGTCAAAAATAATGATATTTTTAATGGTTGGAACTATTTATGCTTAAGTACTACCAACGTATAATGTTGAAAAATAGTTTAACTCAGAATTGCTTCAACCTGCAGTTACTAAAAAACTACCAGTCGTTCCTTTTTATCAACATCCTTAGGGTAGTGAATCAAATATTAAAGTTGGAACTCATGTTTGCTTAAGAAATCTGACTGTGAGTTAATAAGTAGTGAATCTTACTTGCTTGAGTACAAATCGTTATAAATAGCCACATTAAGTTGACTTAAAATTCACTTAGGTAGTAAACAACTCTGTCAAACTACTAATCAACCAAGACAGAATTCAAATGGATCACAATTAGTAGTCAACGTTATTTTGCTTAAAATGCCGGAGGAATGGTGGCTATCATTTGCAATTGAAATAGTAGTAACTTACATGCAGTTTAATATTTAATTTTTCATTCGATTTTGTTAAAACGGCATCATTGAGCGGTTTTGTGTCAGCCAATGTTCCAAGCACATTCATAGCTAAGAGATAAATATATTCTTCAAAATAGCGGTCAAGTTATTGGTCGTCATTTTCATATTGGTATTTGGAGGGCGGTTTCGGTCTTATTCCACTCTTATTTCTTTCAGAATCTCAAAGACTAATATGTCTGTCAGCAGGTACGCTTTTCGAAAAGCCTAATCTCGCGCTATTACTAAGGGTACAGCGATTCATCAAAAGATGTCGTTATTATCTCTCCTGGCAGGAATCTCACAACTTTCAGGTATTAACGGCTGGAACGTTCGCACATATTTTGTACATTACCTTTAGGGTTATGCTCCAAAGAAATGCCTTGTTAAGTTTACGTTAGCCCTAGATAAAAAAATGTCCTGGTGTGGCAAAAACACTGTGGGCGATTTGATACATCACGACTAAATGTTACGCAATATTTCTGTACTGTACGAGTCCCGATTTAAAACTGGCAAAAGAACTAAATAATGTATTACAGTTCAAGTACCTTTAGGTTAACACCCGTTCAGCCATTTCCGAAAATCTGGTGTTCTCACTGGGTCAGCAGGTCTTCTTCTTAAATAAATTTTTCATTAGACACTGAATACTATTCTAAATACTTCGGGTGTCTGGCTATAGAAGGAACTTTACTACAGCGTAGATATTATTAGGAAGTGTTATACTGGAACGATCTGAAGAGTGTAAATTGATATTAGGACGGATCGGATATTGGAGAATTGAGAAGTACTGGTGCTTGAATCACATGTCACAAGAGAATCCAAAACCGTTCGCCACTGTTTACCATTAGCGTTCTGAATTGATGACATATGAGAGACTGCTCTCATCAGATGTAATCAAAAATATGAAGTCATTCCTTAAAACATATTCTGAAGTCAAAAAAGTCGTCTTGCTTTTAGGAGCTGACCATGAAAACATTGAGTTGTGTGTACAGTTGCGCGACCTAGGATCCCAATATAATATGCCGCAAGATTCGAAATATTTGCTAATTAGGTACTCATCTGTAGTTTTGAGGAATTTGAAGATATTGGACTATGATTTTGACACACACAACGTTCCTGAACAGGCAGATTCATTTTCGTAAGTTAAAAGCTCGCCAAATAAACTACTGAAGGTCTTTTTTCAAAATATCACGCAAAGCAGAGTTTATACATATACTTCACTTCTTATTTCGGACTCTAAACCCTGTGAAATATGACACGGAGTTAAGGTATTAACCAAGTAGTTATATAATCCATAAAGGGCGTTTCTAGGGCCTAAATCTGATGTTGGGTTCAAGAATGCGACTTACCGTTGGTTACGCATTTTGTCAGCTGAGGTGCGTTTATTTCCGTTTAACGTAGGTAGTTTCCTAAAGTGATCTCCAACTTTTTCGCCACTTGGGGTTGCCCTGCTGGTATTGGCGTTGTGCGTCTTCTGGCTAATCTATCTTCTTATGTCTTAGTAATTTCAAACGGCATGTTATCCTTCAACAAACAAATCATGGAAAATGACCCTAACTGTGAATGGGTGTCATTCAACTCTATAGGAATTGTTCAGCGCAATCTAAAACATTCACTTTCCCACATTATTTCGGAAGATCTGCTCCAAAGGTTAGTTTGCAATATTTGGATTAACTACTCACTACTATCATAGTGCTTAAGTGATTAATTTAGACATATTACTCCCACCCATTGTATAAAATTTGACCGTCTTCACTTTCAGGCGTTTAGATGGTGTATACTTCCTACAAATTGTAGTTCAGACGAAATACATGAGCATTTACCTATTAACTAATTTTACTAACTGATAAGTTAAAATTAACAATCGTAGCTATGTTTATAACCGTCAGCTAATAAGGAGAGGAAGTAGCGCTTATAATATGCAGTTTTTAGCGTTCAGCTTCTGGTTAACGAATAACACAAGCAGCACTGAATGACGGACTGCATACATATATATTAATAATCTTTATTTTTAAAAGACCTAATATTCTACAGCGTTCAAATACAACGTTTTCTCCTGTATCGAGTGTAAAACCACATTCATCCGATAACACCTTTCTTTGTCTAGTTTTATATAACATATTAGGCTTCAGTATGCTGCGGTTTAATTTAGGTTTTTTTCTACACAAATTCTATTTCCTTCTATAGCTCGACTTTTAGTTACTTTTATAAGACGTTCGAAGAGCAATATAACTCTGAGTTGCTACACTTCACTCCAGCAGAATCAGAAGGATGACTTGTAAAATTGAGGTGAGAAGTACAAAGTTTCAATTTTCGAATGATGGAATCACCCACACGTATATATCTGTACGATCCTTGTCCTGTAAACTAGCTTTTACTGACTTACCACACTAACTTGTGTAAAACGTGTGAGATTAGTACATTTATAGCTTGTCTCACGAAATTAAACTTGTCTTTCTCACTTACTTTCTCTTAACACCACTATCACGCACTCAATGTTACTATTGCTTTATCCTTTGGTAATTTCGATAGTAGGAGTACTTTACATTAAAATTATTATAAATCGTGGTATGCTCTACAAATTCTTTGACTAAAGGGAACTTCAAAAAGGATCTGAAGCTCTGGATGTTGAAGTTCAGCATGCATCAGAAGAAATTTTGAAATTCAAGCAGCTCATTGTTTCAGATTCCGATTTACGAAATAATATGTAAGTTAACTTCATTGAATAGTTATTTACGTGTCAGCACTTTTCTTATCGCGCTGCGTATTCCCAAATGTTTTGTTCCAGTTATTACACCATTTTCCGCATATCCAAAGTTTGGAACATTGGATTCTATAACTTTTGCGCCACTCGCAACAGGTGTTCACAACTATACTTTAGTACTACCCAGTTTTAGCCCATAGAAAATGTTTCCAGTAAGCCACATATATTCTCGGTTATCCTATTTGAATAAGTACGTTGTACAGCTAATCTGTAGTTAAGCAATAAGCAATACCGTCCATTAGTTTCGACATGTAGCATTTCACCACAAAATATGGGGTTCGTTTCCCGGGTGAGTATTTTGCATTATAACTGAACGCAGTGTTGGCTTAGAGATTAAGCAAGTTACTTTTCAACAAGCAGGTGACTGATTCAAACTGCACTTCAGGTAACCAGATAGTCTTTCTATCCCTTATATAATATGGCTCAAAACTGAGTGCATAAATTTGTGCTCGGTAAATAAGTTACACTTTGTGCTAAGTTATACTCCATCGTTGGAACACAGCTGTTTTGAAATGTGCTAGATGTGCCTAGATTACAACTGCAATCCTTGATATATATGCTAGAATAATCTTGATCCTGTTAGGAAAGATCGTTCCGTTGGTATCACACCTGTTTATCTGGTGGTTATTTTTCAATCATGGTTTTTGTTTTGCAAAACTTGACCGCACTGTTATTCTGCAACACTGAAAGTATCTTGAGTTCGCCACTGATACAGCATCCAAAGATCAGGCCTAACAGTCCGACCTTGATCGGTTGAATGACTGACCCACAAGCTAACTTATTTCAATCGCCTATGACATTTTACCATGTTTATTGTGTTCATATTTCGTATATAAGCATGTTATTTTCTTACATAAAAATTCATCGGGCCATTGGTCTTGTCTTTGGTTTGTAATCATTCAGAGGCCTAAATCAATTATGCGATCTTGTGAGTAACTGTCAGCTAGTTAAATTATATAATAGCGTTCAACTGTCGATCAGCATTCTATTAGTCGATTGCTATTGTTTAAATATCGTGTGGTCAAAACGTACTAAACCTCTCCCATAACATCCACTCACCGTCAGGGATAAATTGTTGTAGGTAGTAAATATTCCTCTATATCTAGCTATGTGTCTTATTAGTGATGTGATTAATGGAGCCAGTTTTCGTGCTACAAAAGCTAAAATGACATGATAGCTTGTGCAGAATCCGCTGAGATGGTAATATGGTTGTAGCAGTATAGGTTCATACTTTTTCTCTCGAGGTAAGAAGTCCGACACTTTGTCTGTTGTTAGCGGGACATAGACTGGATTAAAGCATGCTCAATGCATGATTGCTTTGGTGCACGCTGATTGGCTAATTTTTATCCAATCAGCACTAGTCGATAGTTGGAGAATACTCTGGAGTCTTCTTATGTAAAAGCTATAAATATACTGACGTTTTCCCTATTGTGCTTCTGACTTGCTTCTTACTTCCATCTAACCTTGTTATTTGGAATATAATCTCTTTCCTGTTCAACCGTGTTTTGATTTGGGGACTTGTCGAGTGAATCGGTGTCCGAGAATACTAAGCGATAGAAATAGCTGGGTCATAACCGTAAGAAAAGAGATATTTATAACATCCGTAAAACATGGTCTTTTTCGGCTGGTGTATTTGAGAACTTCTCTTCGCTCGCTTATTTTTGTCTTTTGTATAGTGGTTGACTGAAGTCCAGATTTTTGAGTATATCTGGTCACTGTGATGACAACTGTTTGATCGACGGCCATCTTAAAATACGGTCTTGAGTAAATTTTCCGTTTTATGTTTAAATTTTAATTTATTTCCACAATAAATACTGTTCCTCGACATTGAAAGTGGACGTGAGAAGTGAAGGTATCGTCAGTTTATGACATGGACTCGTAGGTCATCACTGTTCGGTATCGTGAGTTACGTAAATCATATGAATCAATAGCTTAAGCGATCGTTATTAATGGGAATCGACTCCGGTTTCTGATGTTCTACAATTTTTTAAATCAAATTTGAACACTTAAACGTTACTCAAGTGCTTTTTATCCATGTTGTCTTCTATGCCTTTCTCTTTATAAGGTTGTATTGTTTTATGCGGCTTTTTTGTGTTCAACATATCAAGCGTTTTGATAGTTGTTGATTACCAATAATCTACGAATTCTATTGAAATAATGTTGATTATTAGCATAATCGTGTGACGTCGTAAGTTAGTTATTTTTATCGCTTTCTTTACGTAAATCAAGTCTTGCTTTTTGATCATAGGAACGATACCCAATTGTTTTCTCTTTGTTCTGATAAAACCATTGGACTCCCGGATGAACTAATTGCTTATCAATTGGAGTTAACAAAAAAAGTAATCTTTTTTCCATCTTGTTCATGTAGTGTTTTTTTCCTGGGAAATATTTTGTTCTTACTTTGATCATGTTCAGAAAATGCCTTACATCATTCATAATCGATCTGAAGAAAATATGTTGTGGTTAAAATGTCTTGTAACCGTAGATTTTATTAAAAGTATAATCAGGCAGCAATTTAGTTTTACCATACGTTAGATAAAGCCGAAAAAACGTAATAATCTAATAATAATCACAGAATTTTATCAGTCCAAGTTGTTATTCTTTCAGCTGCTCAAAACGGTTATGTGTAGATATAAATAAAGCAAATCGAAGAAATATAAGGGTAGGGTGGAAAAAATACCTTTTTCATAACAGGATATCTAAAATTTAAGTTAAACTAAGAATCAAACGCATATGCTCTACCGTGTCTTTTAAATAATCCTTAATAAGATGTCTTGAAACCCAATTACGAAGTTTTTATATGTCCACAGTACACAAACCAACAGTAATTAACTTCATTATTTGGTTACTTATCCTAACCTGACAGCCACTAAATAACTTGTTCTTCATACCGAGTAGGTCCTTTTTGGGTTCTCAATATACTGTTAATCTGTTTAAGTGCTCTTAGAAGTTTGCCTCGGACGTAATGATATTTACTTTTTTCTCGAGAAATAACTCATTTCATGACTAGACGGGAAATGTTTGAATTGTTTGTACATAAAGTGGATAAGTGTGTGTATCTTTTCAACATACACTATATGTGTCTCACATCTAGGGTATGATTCTTTGTCAGTGTGTTGAAAACATATTGAGTCGTTGTTATCCCAGTGTTATTGCTTCTGTGACTTATGTACAAGAATAAAACTGTTCGTGTCATCTAGGATTTTATGTGTATGGTAAAAATGATCAAATCACATATCTTTTTTGATTAAAAATAACTTCGGGAATATTTTGTTTAAATTCAATGGAGTCAGAGTGAGCACAACTTTAGAACCGCACCTAGTGTCATAATATGGTGTGACCTACACGTTATAGTTGCAGCCAAACATGTCGGTTTTGTCTTATTCATAGGTAATTAGTAAATCAGATGTGCATATTTTATAGTTAATTCCACGGAAAGACTCTGGTTAGAGAATCATTGGAAAATAAGGAGCACTGGATATCTATTTCATCTTGATACAAAACTCCTAAACTGCAACTGTTCACGGCTCCTTCGTTGATTGAGTCCAGGATCTTCAAGTCTGTCAATGGATGGTTAACCTTAAGACTTCTGAGCCAGAATCCAATGACTTGCATTTGTAATTAAGACCAGTCGGTGATATAAACTCTCGAATCCAATAATCTGCAAAGATCTAACATGCTAAAATATGTAAGGTTTCCAGTCGGTATCCAATTTATATATATATATATATATATATATATATATATATATATATATATAAATTTTAGTGTCAATGCTCTCAATTATGTATGTATAACCAAAAAAATTCCTAATTTATATCGACTAAGCAACATTAGTGTTCATTACTGAGCATCGTATGGTTGCCTACTAATCTTCCGTAAATGCTTGGTACAGTCTACATTAGTAACAAAAAATTACTCTTAAAATGCATACTACTTATAGTAGTATGCTTGTTGTTGTTAGTTTTAATACCATACACTTATTTTTGCACCTGCTATTAAAAGTAAGAAGGTAAAATAGAGCTACTAGCGTGAATGATATCTTCATTAGACATTCGTAAATATTTTAGAGGGTTGATCACACAACATATCTTAACGTAGTTAACACTGATTTGATTTTCGTTATTTGTGCTGCGAAACAATTTTAACGTACCTATGATTGATGGTTTATTCGGTTTGTCTCGCGAATCAAGTTGGTGATACTTGTTCCGGGGTAGCTATATTTTCCAGCTCAAAATAAATTTAAGGGAGACTTATGAGCCAAATTGTCTAAGTGTTTATGTTTCGTTACGTTATTTATTATTTATTTGAACACATACATATTGGTACAAGAGTGAGCCAAATATATATGCGCCACACAAAACAATGAGAATTTAAAGAGAAGGAAAAAGAAAAAAAAGGTAAGGAGGATAAAAAGAAGAACAATAAGGAAGAGGTTGGTGTAAGTTAGTGTAATAATAATAGTGGTAGTAATGGGGGAACGGAAAGGTACAATCAAAAGAAATCCTTTAGTTAAGGGAGATACAACCATTTTTATGAAGTAAAAGAAGGTTACAGCAGGGTCGCCACTGGCTTCTATTCTGAGCCATATCTGATAACGTCTCTAGCCACTGTTGCACCATCTCTCGGACCCCCGGCCAGGGATTCGTGAAGGACCAACAGAAACCAGCCCTTTGTAGCTTTCTTTCATGCCACGACACCATGTCATACGCTGACCACCTCTTCGCTTTTTCCAACCAGTTCCAGCGTTGGTAAATAATGCACGACGTGGAATTCTCCTGAACGACATTCGTAGAACATGTCGAAGCCACCGAAGTCGGTGTTTCAAGATGGTGACACCAATTGCATTATCGTCTCTGTGCCCAAACACACGATGCCGAACCTCTGCATTACTAACATGGTGTTGTCACTGAATGTCAACAATCTGTTACGTAATCTGATTCCAATAAATGTTGAGTCCAAATTTCGGGAATTCTGCTGATAAATGATTCTACAACTTTTCATCTAAAATATACAGCTCAATAATGCTTTATAAAATCTATATTTCTAGGAAATTGCTTTGTCATAGATCTATCAAACATCTATTCACGTCGAGTGATTACTTAGTAGTTCACAGTTTTATTCCTTATGATTGGTTATTCAACATTAATTCATTGCTGTACTGTTATTCAATGCAGCATTATTTTATGTTCAAGTCTTTTTTTCTCCGACCAAATAATTTATTTTTGATCCGTTCTTTGAACAATTATTTCTAGGTATCCACTTTGAAACAACAAATTAAAACCTACTTAGACAGACACAAGCCGTCTTTACTGCAGTTTAACAATATACTGGATAGTTTAAATGATCATAAACCGTTTACTCTAAATGGTTCCAAGATGAGATTTCTACAGTCAGGAAACATATTGTCATCATATTTAAATGACGATACCAAGGTACACACTTTAAGTAGTCATTGTTCTGAATCAAGTTATGAAAGTTTTGTTATCTTTTCCTACTTATTTTTTTGATGTACTTAAACGTTTAGTTAACTGACCCTTCAACATCCAATTGTCCACGAGGTCAATGTGCTTAACGTTAAAATGCGACTCCATATATCGTGAGCTGTAGTGTGATGTGGATTACATTTTTAAGGCTTTAGGCGCCAACACCTTGGGATACCTGTTAGTTGAGTTTGGTTATTTAAGATTTTAGTTTCTGGCGGATTATTACTGATGAAAAAACACTGTACCGTTTAAAGCATTCTATTCGTTATATGTGACGGTTTGTTTAGCGTTTGCTTTAAGTATATCTGAGCGGTAAATCAGTAGTTAGTGTTTAGATTTCAGTCACTAGGTCACAGGTTCACGTCCCACTCCACCTACTTCAATGTAGGCAGCTGAGTAGTATCAGCAGTCCTCACACTTAATGTGACTTAAAGCCCAGTACACAAATTTGTATCTGGACAAAGAATTATATTAGTTAACGCGTAGACTTCCTTTCAAATTAAATTGACCGCAAGGGCGAATATTTTAACCAGGACTACCTTAAACTTCTAAATATATAACTAAAAGATGCAATTTATTGAAAAATATTAAAATTCGTTGAACCGAATTCTATTCTAATTATTCTCTTCATATGATCAATTCAATAACCACATAATTTGAAGCTGTAGTGACAGTTTACACTTACAATCTATATGACTAACTTTCATTAATTTATACTTAAAATTGATTTTATTTATGTAACCTTCATGCATAGAATTAACTTTTTCCTAATCCTTATCAATTTTATATCTCCTTATAAGTAGTCTTTCAATGATTTAAAACGTTTAAATATCGATGTTATCATTTGTCATTTGATTGCCGCTTATTATTGTTTTCATAAATTATTTTAGTCCCATGTTTTTAAGACTCAGGTAAGAAAATGTTGCGTTAAAAAATATTTTTTCCTAAAGAATTCGTGCTATGATAATAATAACTAATTCTCATTGTCACTACCGTGCTTCGGTTTAGGCACCCGGTCAGTATTCCAACCCTCACACAAATCGAATAATTTATGTGGCGCATATTTGTTTGGTACCTCTTTGTACCAATGTTTACTTTTTAAAAATAAATAAATACTGTCATTACACAGTCATAAGGAAATGTTTCATTCCATAGGCTACAGTTTCAAGCGAGCTGTGCGTTTTTATAACTGGTAAATTTGATTCCTTTTTTTGCATATGACTCAGTAAGGTCTGTTTATTCAGAGTAGCTTTTACTGCAACGGACGGTGAGATTGTTCATCTACCCAAAAACGGCTTCCAAAAATGTATATCAGTTCAAGTTCCGACACAATAGCACGACAAGATGAAATTGACAAGGTTTCTAGCAAAAGATTCGAAGCACTATTAGTATCTGCAGTAGTGAAAGGAATTAAACACTGGATAGTACTATGGGTGGTGGCTAGCAGTGGAATCCAGGACTTGCTTTTCGTCCTATCTTGGACTCATCGGCTGCATGTCCTTACATCCCAGAGTTGATGTTCACTCCGGTCTTCGAACTCAATATCTTTCTCCTCAAACGCCATCACGTTGCCCACCTAGCTACTGAATCCAAACAGCCACTAGCTTGCGCAATAATGTGAAGTGTAATTCATCTTGTATTTGTTGTTTGAATCTTCCCAATAACGTTTATGACTCCGATTGATTAGTCTCTATTGAGTTATGTAAGACTGATTCATCATAGCCCATGGGAACATATACCAAAAGAGACTGATCAATTGCAGTCATAAACGTCAGTGTGAAGATTCAAACAACCAATAAATGTAAATTGTATGATATGATTTCGGATCTAAGAAATAAAAGTACGTAATGATTTCAAAGTTCAACCTCTCCAACAAGCGACCTCACGGTCCTCAAATATATATTATGCACTTGCAAATGTAACTCAATCAAACAGTCATTGAATTAATGGACTGATGTAATGATCAGAAACTGATCACCTTAGTTGCTTAGCTACTATGTTATTCCCTCACGCATTATGTTCTACTTAATACGTGTATGAGCTTTTCATATTATCACTTTTATCTTAGGAAGAACCAAAACAAATAGATGGAAAATTAAATTTTCATTCGTAAGTTTGTGATTTTTTTTGCGTTGTTTACTGTGTGATCTCTCTTTTCTTAGTGATTGTAAAGTATTACATGTGAATATATATTGTTTTCAACTATGTATTGTCTTGTGGATTGATTTTGCAGGGACACATCCGTATATTATTGTTAATAGTATTCATATTTAGATGCATTTACCTTCTGCCTTTCTATATTTGAATCATCTTTCATATGATGACTACCATGAAGGCTGTTATAACAAGTCTTATTTCAACATTTTGAACTTAACATCGTTAGGTTGTAAAACTTTCAAAATATTCTATGTACAGAAATAACTGTGTACTTTGTTCTTTGTCAATGATTATTTCATTTTAAATAAGCGAATATCACCCATAACTTTAATTATAGAATAGCATATTAAAAAGAAATTGTTTTATTCACAGTTTGTTGAATTTAGGGTGATAAACATCAATGGTGAGGGGCGATCTTCTATCTAAAGTTTAGCATTTTTATTTAAAAATGAAATGGTATCTTGGTGGTTAAAGCGTTAGAATTTCAAGTTGTTAGGGAATAGATTGGAATTCTACATCATCATCATCTAGATGTGGGCAGCCAGTTAATTTCACCACTCTCCGCACAAACAGTTTGTATAGTATTTAAGCTTATAAATACTAAGAGAATCATATTATATTTAGTTAATTACGAATGTGCATTTTGTTCGTAATTGTGTATTTTCTTTGTTCTCTGTAGATTTCTGCGTCATTCAATGATGCTTTTACAAATGGCTTTCAAATCTTACAATCCTTGTTTTACAAATGATAAATTTCAAGAATTATCTTCTTCACAGTATAGTTCATCAGATTGTCTTACTGTATTTAAACAAGCTATTGGTCAGTTTTACTCTCAAACATCTATCGATTCTAGTTTTTCAACACATTCGGAGAAGGAACTTTGTCAGTTAATGAAAGAAATGCGTAGTACTATTGATAAATTACAATTGGAACTGTATGTTTTTAGCTGAAATGCAGCTATTGTTTTTAAGATATTTTCCGTTTTTTATTACTCAAAATCGACTTTGTAAAAATTTCATATCTTCGATTTTTCGTTTAATGGAAACGCGATGGTATTTAAAGCGAAATGTCCTAAGTTCGAGTACCTGCGTGGACACCAACTCTGGGATGCAGGTTAATGCAGCTGATGAGTTCCGAATGGGACGGAACGCACATCATGAATTCCACCACTAGCCATCGACCATCTGTGCCCATAATATTTGGATTATTATTATCCGCCTTCTTCCAATTATTCAACTAATCATCTGATATAATTTTATAAACACTGTAAAATCATTATTAATGTTACATCATCAGTCGATGAGTATTATATATATAGTGTAGAGCCATGATGAACAACTAGTTAGAAAGAAATTCCTTCACTCTTTCCGTGTCTTTGCTAAATTTTTAAATGAGAACTTTCACTAAACTTATATTATGTAGTATTTCTGCAAGTTTCATATTAAAAAACCATCATTTCTACTAAGCATCTCAGCAATGACTGAAAAGTCCGCGAATGATACAGCGCTAGAATAACACCCAACCTCCCTTTTTGACGAATACATGTAACGTGTCCGGGGTCTAGTGCTTTTCGTTTCTTGGGTCACTGTTCATATAATTTTTGCCGAAGAACCTTACCCCTGGCTACTGCCAAAGATGTTTCGATTGATGAAGGTGGATACTGGACAATTGTAGAACAACATATGAGAAGTATATTCGTACGACTTCAACTTTCTTCTTTATTTGACTGACTAAATAAGCATAATACTTATATGATATGGTAAAGTTGATCATCACAAGAGGCGATCAGCAACCCTATCGGCCCTTCAAAAATAATAGTAGAAAGTGAATTTTAGCAATATACCTTTTACCTAACTTTATGCCATATTCTTTGTCGATTGTCACGGCTAAATGTCAAAAAATTGGTCGACATGTATTAAGCTTAGCATTTTCTAAAATGTATTTAAATGTGTTTAGTTGGTTGTCTAAAATTGAGCTTTATTGAAATGAGAAATAATCGAGCAAAAGTATAATTACGTAACCTCCTTAGTCTTTATCTTTTTGTTTTTTTGCAGAAAAGATGAGTGGCTTCGGGAATCACAACTGAACATAAAATTTCCAGAACTTTCAGCGACCTATTCGACCATATCTCAACCTTGCATTTCTTGCGAAACTGGTGATGAGTATGATGTAAATAACAAGTCTAATAACACTTTTGATATATCAGCGGAGAGTACCCTGAATAAGACAGATGAAGCGTTACCTATACATGAATCTTCTCACCAGTTGTTTAAAAAGTGTATGTCTGTTTTACTCTCTTAGAATTTAAACAGCTTATCCATATTTTGATTATGGCATTGGTATATTTATTAAATCTTCATAAGATTGATGTTGTTTTTCCTTATTATTTACTTTTGTGCATTCGATAGTTCAAGGGTCTTTTCAAATAAAAATAATTGTATATTTATCTTAATCGTAAATTAAGGTTTGTTGCTAGATTGTAGCAGCTGCTACCTTGACGTGGTGAGTGGGTTCATATTTCGTGATGACCTAATCAAGTTTTTTTGACTGGAACATTTGTTCATTTGAGTCCTACTACGATAGACAAGTTGGCTGAAGAACAGTCAGACTAAAAGCAACAACGTAAAGTCAAAGGACTGCCGTATTCCTGACTGTACTGAAGTGTTGCTCTCCAGCAACCACCATCTACAACAGTACGCCCTCTCCATAATGGAAAGGGGATATCACAAGTCAGATGTAGAAGTAACACACTTCATCTTCCCCTACAGATGTCCGGCGTCATCGGTAAAACCTTTGAAGCACGGAGCTAAGACATTTCAAACTGCTTATTAAAAGCCACGTGTATAACAAGACTCAAAAAGTCAACCTTTTAGCTCTGAGGTCATGCTTCTAGGCTGTCAAGATCGCCCCTGATTCAATCTCCTTTCCAGATTTGTGAAGAAGAAGCGTCCCTCCACAATATAAGAAACTGGGAACTGATAACCGCTTTCGTACCTCTAACAACACTGGAGATCACCAACTAACTCGGTTTACTAACCGTATTTCGCTTATGCTAAGTACTGTATCTCTTAAAACCGTTGCAATCTAATCATATATTGTCATTATTCCTCGTTATTTCGAAAGTTTATTTACATGAGCTAGATTTTTTACTCAGGGTAATATGATTCCTCTATATTCATTAACTAGTTTGTCTACTAACGTTATTCGAGTTAGGATATTAGTATAAGTAAGTTTAATAGTTGAGATCATGAGTCAATTGAGGCTAGATTAACATAGAAAACCTGGAGGCACTGGACGGCCGGTTCGCCCTACTGTGAGACTCCTCAGCATTGAGCATCCACGATCACGCCTCGCGGGATTCGAGCCCTGGACCTATCAGTCTCGCGCTCGACCGCCTAACAACTAGACCACTGAGCCGGAATCCAACGGTGTTAATGTCTAACTTCAACTAATGCACGAAATCGAGTGACACATTTACCATTGTCTTCAGTGAGTTGATATCTCACAACAGACCCGGTTGAACTCCAGTGACCACTGCTTCTCATTAGAACTCCAGGAAATACTTCTTGAAGCCAGTCACTTGTGAGCATATGTTAAGTAGTATCAGAAGGAGGCTTGTGGAGATTGTAGTAATTTCAATAGTTGAGATCATGAGTATAAGGTTTTTTGTCTGCTAATCCCAACCAATTTGGCCTACTAACTTAACATTGTCATACTGAAAGTATGTGGTATCATCCTATGATAAACATTGATTTTGCCTTGACAGATAATGAACAGAACCTTGTAGCGTGTTGAATTATCTTAGTTTGTTACAATACCAGTAAACTGTAAAGCGAACTAGGAAGTCGTGTGACTTTGGGTAACATGATTACGAAAGCAGGTATTTTAGTCGCTTCACTGTATTTAGTTTCACTCTAATACTGCTCAAATAATTGCTTAAATTTCTGTTGTACTGTGTCTCAAAGTATAAATATCCATGTACAATATAACCCATTCAATCACTGCGTTGCTTTTGCATAATTATTTAAATCAACTATTGCTCACTTTTATTCAGCACCAGCAAGGAGTAATTTACAGTTCAACTTTCCTGATGAATCCACCTACAAGCATTCAACATCATCACTTAAATGTAGTCCAGTTAACGATCCTAGAATGAACTTCCTGGGTCTAAAGAAAGGAAACTATTTGAAAGTTGATCATACAACTTCTAATTCGTTATCTCCACCCCGCACGCGAGAAATTGAAAATACTTTGCAAAATCTAAGTATAAACTCACCAGAAAATGTTCTTACCGATGAAATGTGTACGGGTAAGTTAAAAATGTATAGTTTTAATGTTGGATTTCGATATCGTTGCAATAGAATAGAGTATTCTTATAACTTGGATAATTTGGCTTCTATGGTAATGTTTTTCCTGGTTAACCTACTGTTATATCAGAGTTGTCGTCTGCGTTATGTACTTATCAACTTTATTGAGTCCATAGTCTAAGTGCTTTAACTTAATAATCAGGAATCACTACCATTTCCACGATGCAAATTGAGAATAGAACAGACTAGTGCAATGAGGATAGACTCCCCAGAAATACGTCTCACATCATCCGTAGACCACATTATAAACATTTATATACCAAACTTCACACACACTTATATTAGTACTACATAGGTGGTAAAATACATACAACTGTAAAAACACATTATATATAGTTCCTGTATTAATACAGGGAATAAAATTATCACCCTGAATGAGACTTCACACTTGTCATATAAAACAAACTTTGTACTGAATTGTTACAGGAAAATATTGACCTCAAAATATCACACTGAACAAAGTTTTCATCTGTCACCTTGGCCAATATTCATAATGAATTGATACAAGAAATATTGATGTCATTTTTATCTCGTCATATCAAGTATGATTTTGGTAGTAGTACGTATAGGATTTATGGTTATATCTTTTGAGTACTTAGTTAAGCCGTACATCTGATAGCTACAATTGAATATATCAAATAATCGTTTACAAAAGAAAAGAAACACTTGCAATTTCATTTAGTTCAAAAACACCATTTATAATCTTGTGATGCACATGTTGTTATGCAAGTGAGATTATGACCTATATTTTATTATCATATCCTGAAAAATCTGTCTTTCAAACACATTTTTTTCTCGCATTTTTATTACTGTTGTTATCGAGAAACTAGATTTATCTGGTTTACAAAACATTAAACATCTTATAGTAATAAAACATATTTGCATATTATTTAATTACCCGGATTACTTGATTAGCCTAGTTATTTTGGTGGCCCGAGATCTGACTCCATTTGGATCGTATGATTATCGTTATCGAGTGATTGCTATCGAAATATACATCCCTGTTATCCTTGTATATATATAATAGACTTAAATTGCGTTAGTAAATAACGGAATTAAATAAGTCAAATACGAGAATCAATTTGAATAAGTATACTTCATACAATCGTTGATCCAGACAAACGAAGCGAAATGACGCACGGTGGAGAAAGCGAGTGAGCTGATTCACTTTATGCAAGCATGAATCGATATCTATATTCAGACGAAAATAAGTTACATATATGTGATGAGTAAGGTAAAATATGCACACACATACGATCATATAAAAAACAGTTAGGGTAAAAATGTGGCTTGAAAAAAATGAATAGATTGATCTGTCCAGAGGCTAGAATAACCTATGTGGGTTTGACATAGCAACCGATACTACATTATTGTCTACAGCTAGAAGCAAATCTCTGATCCTAATCAAATCGATTTCAAATAGACAGATTTATCATTCAAATTTATAAACATATATAATACAATTAAAAGCGTCATTTTATATACATAATGATCAATTCAGTTATTGTATGATTGAATTTATTGATAACATAACCAAGAAAATACAAAAAAAGCACGATCACAAAAGGACTAGTAATCCTTCACTTTTTATCTTCGTAATAACCCTATGTTAATAATAATTGTGTTAAGTACAATAAAACATTGATAAATAGAATTTAAGTAATTGAATACACACTATTCGAATGTGTTTTAATTAGTTTTTAGATTTTACAAATTTAATAACTAAAATTCATGTCATCCACTAAGCATATATTATGCGGTTCAACTGTTTCAATTAATAATTTTGAACAAATTGAACATTGGTTAGATTGTTATGAATAAATTAATATATTTGTAATATTATCAGAAGGGGTTTGTGGAGATTTTAGAAATTTTCACAGATTGAAATCATGAGTCAGTTGAAGCTAGACCACCATGAGAAACCTGGAGGCACTGGACGGTTGTTTCATCCTAGTATGGGACTCCTCAGCAGTGCACATCCGCGATCCCGCGGAATTCGAACCCAGGGCCTGTTGGTCTCGCGCCAAGCGCTTAACCAACTAGACCACTGAGCCGGCATCCAACAGTGTTAATGTCTAACTTCAACCAATCCACGAAGTTGCGCCACCGTATACCATTGTCTTCAGTGAGCTGATATCTCACAACAGACCTGGTTGAACTCCACTGGTAACGGCTTCCCACTAGAACTCCAGGAGTATCTCTTGAAGTCAGTCACTAGTGAGCAGATGATTATTATCAGAAGGAGTTTGTGGAGATTTTAGAAAATTTCACAGATTGAAATCATGAGACTAAAACTAATCGAAATGATTTTTTAACTAAGATAAGTATACCATTGAATCTCGCGGGGTGCGGGATCGTGGATGTGCACTGCTGAGGAGTATCATACTAGGACGAAACGACCGTCCAGTGCTTCCAGGTTTTCCGTGGTGGTCTAGCTTCAACTGACTCATGATTTCAATCTGTGGATATTTGTAATATCCCATTGAGTAGAGAAATTATTCTTATTGTTCCGTTGTACTATTTAAACTTGGATTAATTTTAATTTGGTTATTTATTCTCTGAAGAAGTGGCTTACACTAAGTCACGAAACGTCAGAAAATCTGTTTTTTCTACTCATTGAGATATTACAAATATATTATTTATTTGTTTCAATTAATGCTATGTAATTTTAAGCTTAAAATTATCATTATTCTGTTTAGGTTATTAGCGTAGTATAATTTTATTTTTCATATTACTCAAACTGTCAATTCTTTCTATCATTAACAGAAATTATGTCCAGTACAACTGATATGTTAAAAATGAAGGGACTTGATTATTGTGAAGATATTTTGAAAACCCAGTTTCCTGTCACATCATTAGTTCCGCATAAACCACCTTCAATAAAATATTCTTTAAAAGATCTATCTAATATACCAGTATCTATACCACCTACTTTTCAGTCATGTAAGTTTCGTTGACTTTTCCTATATATGCTATGTTTTTTCTCTATGGGTTGCACATTATCCACTCAGTTTAGTAAAATAGCATTCTGTTAGTAAAAGTAAGGTATGTGCAATCAGACATCTTGAATAAAATATTTTGTAAGTGGTCTGTGTAGAAAATACTGAGGTGTATTTCATTTCTCATTTGTACTCTCTTATCGACACATAGATTTACAGTAAATAACGGCCAATCAATAAATTTGAATCAGTTTTTGATCAGAGCAACAAACGACTTGAAATTAAAAAACCCAGAAGATTAATGAAAACTTGTATTCTTTTCTTGATATGACTAGTTAGGCGAGTTTGCTACAAATAGTTCTAATTTAAATCACTTGTTAGAATTAGCGAAGAGCATTCATGTATTGACACTTCAATGAATACTTACTTCTATTGCACATAGGATACAAGTGAAAAGGTTTGTTTGCTTTTTTTGTACAAAAGGATCGTACTGGATTACACATAATAAAACAAAAATGCAAATACATATCTAATGTAATTTTTAGAATATGACGCCATAATAACACTTCTCTTCCAGTAGTAAGTAAGAATAAACGCTCAAAATGAATATAGAAATTCTCACCTTATGAAACTGTTTTTTCCTCTACATCTCTTGGTTTCCGTGGAAATGGTCACTATCTATCTCTTGAATAGATTTTGGCGACATAATAATTAACTTCTAAAGCGGTAATGTATAAATCTGCTTGGTTTTACTTTAAACGTGTATGTAAAAATTTTCTTTCTAACATATTATATTAACTTTTACTTTTTTTCTATACATCAGTAGACTTTTTGTTTTTGTAATCTTACATACCTTTTAGCCTACAAGAATTTTTAGTTTAAACATATACAATATTACTATTTGATTTCTGATAGAGTCCTGTTTTCTGTGTTGAGTAGTTTGATTATGAAGCTTTCAATTTTCCTTTTGGACAACGTAGACATAAATTTTGTGGTCGTCCGGATTTCCCCACTTAAGACTGATACGTAGTCCTGTTGACCTCGATCATGATTTGTTGATATTGACCCTTGTCTAGTCATTACTTGCATATTTATTTTGATTATCAGTTTTTAACTTTACGGTTGTCCATGTTTTTCTGATTTCGGCCAATTATGAGAGTCCTAAACAGTTATAAAGTCAAGAACCAGGTCAAAAGGAATGACAATCTAAATAAATTTACGAGCGATTGCAGGGCAAGGGTCATCAACAGTCAGTCGAGGCCGAGGTCAACAGGACATGTCAGTCTTGTGTGAATGAATGCAGATAGCTCATTTCTATCTGAAATTTGTGGTCATTATGTTGTTCAGAAGGACAGTGGAAGGTGCTCGATTAATCCATTGAGCTCAAAGATTAAGGCCACCAGATTTATCTACTTAGACTACAAATCCTCCCTAATATCTCAAAAATTCTATTTGTATGTAGTCGCTAGTGAACGCAAATTACTATTTTTGTTTCAATGTACTGTGTAAATAATGTTGTAAAGTGTCTTTCTATACATTTTTATGCTGTAAATGTTCTGATTTAGAGAAAAACGAATCAAAACAAGAAAATTGAGATAAATTATTATTATTGGTGAATTTTGATTCCTATCTTGTCTGTCTATAAGCTTGATTTATTTTGTTGGCTTTTTTCTTCTTCCATTAAATATACATTAGTCTCTTCTACTATGGAATTAAAAGAATCTCATTTGTGTAATCCGACAAATAGCAGCTTCAATCTAATTGGTAAGTTGTACCATTTTTAATGACTAGTGTGATTAACTCTTAATGTGTAACTAGTCATACAATTTTCTGCCGACAACAAAATTAAAAATACTAGTTTTTCTTGGATGAAATAGTTAACAGATCAACTAAGTGCATATAATAAGTCAGTATCTGTATAATTAGTTTAGAATCATTCGAAAATTTCAACTATTAGATCGTGGGTTCGTGTTAGGATGTGCAGAAAAATATACCAATAATTATCATGTTAAGTCTAATGGTGGCCTTGGTCTTTAAATGTACACTCCCTATTGGTCGATATTTATTTCACTTGTTAAATATTGTACAAATGTTGTTTTCTATTTTATGGTACGATGTGGTCTGGTTGATTGGTATATAAATAGAGTATGTCTGAAATATAGTGATTCATATCTCAGAAACTAAGACTTGCGTTCTGGACTCAACTGGCTGGGCTAGACAGGAAAGCGGGACCAATCAGGACTCGAGGCCGTTCATTACGTGTCATTGGTCCGGTCGATAAATACGCCGCTCTATCTAAACTGCAGTCACACACACGTTACAACAGTTCGAACCTGTTCCGCTTATCAAATTTTGTATGTTAACCGTCACATAAGATGTTAGATTCACTTAAATAGCTCAATGGAATCCGATTAAAGTAGAACAAGTGTTGGCTCTTCAGAATATTTATACATAAATAATGAATGATCCTATAGTACATAATACGTTGTAGCTGACTGACTGACTGATAGTACATAATAATTAGCCTCGATTAAAATTTACATTCAAAGTAATAAACTCAGTAACAGCACGAGTGCAAGAATGATTAGTGTGATATGGCAGAATGGATAAAGAGAACGCATCAACAAATAAGTTAACAGTTATTTTATGATGGATCAATGAAATACAAAAATGAGGTTATTCAATATAAAATCTACTACTCATGTGTAGTGCATTTTATAGTGATGCTTAGTACTTCAGTTAAATCAATCAGCTCTGATTTCATCTCAGAGAAGACGTATGTCATAATAAATGGATGTACTGCTGAAACACAAACATTCTTCTGTTATCATTTATACTTTGTTAATAAAAAGGATTGTACAAATGTAACAGCTAACTGTGTATTTATATCTTCCCTATATTATTCAAACTAATCAGTTCGTTATAGACAAATTAGTCTTTGACTTATTTTTTTGAGTAACTATTATTGTTATTTCCTTTAACTAGATGATGATCTGGAATTTGTCAATGATCTGCTTCCATCGTCTCCAAACTGACGACAGTGAAGATTCTTTCATTTCCATATGTTGTAGTTATTCATTTTATTTGCCTGTTAATGTATAATTTTCTTCCAATATAAATGGTGATAATGACAGTTAAGAAATAAATATCATCATAATACACTATTTTCTGTATGTACTACATGTGAAATTAAAAGTGAATGATGTCTACTACCAGAATACTTTGTATTTAACAGAAGTATCAGTTAACAATAGTATCCTCTCAAACTTTAATGTTACAAAATTTGCGAAATCTTATTTGTAAATTATGAGTTTTTTGTAACATTCAGTTTTATCTCATTTAATCGAAAATTTTATGTCTATTTTCCATAACTTTAGAGTTAAGTATACCAATTAATTACAACTGAGATGGTCCACCTAGCCTAGTTTAGGTACAGGAAGCTACGTAAGATCTTTTATTCACGTCGCAAATGAATCAAACTATCTAATTTTAACATTATCATTATTATATTTTACGCTAAATAATACTGTCAAATCGAGGCAACCTGAGTTTGCAAAGTACTATACCCATGTTAATTGTTTAGAGCTAATAAATTGATGCTTCTGAAGAATTTTATTCAGTGTGAGACTTCTCTATTCTTAGACTTATGCATGAAGTTACAACTCATTGTTTATATCATTCAAATCTTAATGTGGGTCGATCCTCTTGAGATAGAGGTATGTAAAACATTGGTTAGCCCTATTGAAAATATAAAAACTTCAGGTAGGATCAGGTTGCATAACCTCATGTTTTTTTCAAACCAACTTCAGGCTTATGTGAGGTTGCCTGGTAATACCATCCTTTTTCCTTGTTTTGCTTTGTTTGGTTTTTACAAGAATGTCTGAAATAAATACATATTTGCGATGTAAATCTTTTACCTTTCTACATTTAATATATGATGTCATTGTGTTGTGATATACAGGCCAATCAAGTCATAATCAATGAGAATATAAATGGTTTGTGCTGTTGGTCTTCTATAGATTTACATAGTCGTGTATCTTTATTTGTTATTAGTGTTGATCTGTTCAAAAGCTAGTTAGGCATAAATCTGTAAGACCGTTAGTACATATATAAGGCTTCAATACTGGCACTTCTGTTTTTCATGTTTCTCGAATTGAGTTCCCAGTGGTTTTTTTATTTAATCATTACGTTTTTCATAAGACTAACCACATTGCGTCACAAAACAAAGTAGGTATGACTGTAGTCTAACAGTTTATTTGGATATTCAATGTGTACCATTTACGATTAACTGATCAATATTAGAGCAGTCCATAGGCGCTGGACAGCCGTCTCGCACAATATCGTAGATTGATTGAAGTTGGACACTAACACCGTTAGATGTCGGCTTATTAGTCCAGTGGTTATGAGTTCGAGCGCGAGACCAGAAGGTCTTAGTTCAGTTTCCGCGTACTAAATCGTGAGTGTGCCTAGCGAAGTCCTATACTAGAATGAAATATCCGTCCACTGCTTCCCGGTTTTCAGTGGTAGCTTATCATTTTAATCAAAATCGACAATCCTCACAGACCTATACTGAAAACACTCATTTATTATGCTTGTCAAATGAGAAGTATTTGTTGATCAGTAACTACTGGTTTACACAAGGAAATCATGTTTTAAACTTCACTAGTATGTCATTTTAAAAAAGTATAAATCAGGTAAAAGTCCACAAGTTGATCTGATAATAATGTATAAGATGAGCGCATGGTAAACAGCGTCAGTAGTCACATGTTGAATATGCTTGTAAAACTTAAGTTAGGAAATTAGCATCGATTTGAACTACTTATGTTTCCTTTTCTTATCAACTTAATGGATGTTCGATAACCATGACATTGCTCATACTATTTATAAATCCAGATATTTTCTTTACTTTGTCGGTTTAAGTAAACTAGTTTGCTCACGCTAAATTACTAGGTTTGTATAATCAAATTTCCATCTTAACGTAACTTCTACTGTTGCAAAAAAGACTCTTTGTACATGAAAATCATCATGTGTAACATTCTTTTAATACTTATTACTTCTGAAATTAATTTGTAAACTATCGATATTCAGAATCTTCTTAATGTTCACTTCGATATACACCGGAAACCAAGGACGTAATATGGAACTTAGTGGGTAAAGTATTCATATTTTCAAAACACTATCAACCCCCACCAAGCTAGATGTGTTTAACTATATACCTTGTAACTACCGATTATAGCGTTTTACGTGCACACATCTGTAACTTACATAATTGACGGTTGTACGCTTACTGTGATATCCGCATTACTATACTTGTCATATAAATAATTCTTGTGATAAGCGCCTTCAGTGTACAAAGAGTAAACGTTCTGTTAACTTTAAATCTTACATATATGACCATAGTTTGCTTGATAATGATGAATATTATAATCATTCATGTCCGGCTCCTGTAGGAATAGAATAACCAAAAGAAATATCAATGTAACCAACAACGAGGAAAATTTGTGAATTGTTGTCACAGTGGAGTAGACACATGATTGAAATTGTTTACTAATTCAAAAAGCAACCATCAAGTATACTTAGTGATGCTGATAATAGTATTATTAATCACTCAAGTGAACTTGAGAATAAACCAAAATGCGTATATGAGTTGGAAAGGTTTTCAAAATATTCATATGATCAAATACTAATGGTGTCATGATCAAAATAGGCGTGAAAGTATGGAAAAACTGTACAAATAATATGTTAATTAAAGATGTAACCAAGGCTGTAGAAGCGAAACAAACGGAACAAGGTCACAAATTGGGCTTGTGTTAATTGCAAACACTTGTAGCGAGTATGTTAAGTTGATTGTAAATGATCGGTCGAGAGGTGGAGTTTAGAGCGGCTTAGTGATAACCTGAAGTACTAAGCAGTTCAGGGCCTCATCGCATATATATGTTTAGGGATTCAACTGTTATCGGTTTGTTCTAATTGACGAAGTCCGCTTCTAGCAATTAACACGTAACTTATATTAAGTATTCTTATCACCACGGCTCGTCAATTTGGATGTACAAATGTAGATTCTGATGAGGAATTATTAGAAATAATATTCTTCGCTCCTAAATCTGTGTTCTAATAAATACTTGTAGTATTTTGTATTGATGCTCCATACTATTCTACGGTATTTAACTAATTGTTCAAAATTTGAGACCTTCGATAAGAAACTACAACATATACATGAAACATAAATCAAAAATTAACCATAACTTGAAGCAGTCTAAATAGTGAATCAATGATACTATGTATTCTAAGTACCTGAACAGTAGAGAAAGCTAAATTTATTGTATCAATTATTCTAATACTAAATAAACCCGTTCAAATTATCATGGTTTTTTATGTGGACAGCATTTCCACCTCAACCTTATATGATGATAACAGATATAGTTGTAAATATTGATGACATCATCACTGAACGTATTTAGCAGATATCCCGTTGGAGATAGTTAAATTTATTTCCATTGACTTATACATTCATTACGTAATAGTAGACAGATTGGTAGATTTACAGGACACAGATTAATAGTTCTGTTAAACCAAAAATAACCACCAACTTTAATATTCAATATCAATTTAGGAGGCCGCATAAATGTATTTTTCGGAGATTTTCAGTATTGTGATGTGTTCCAATGACACATTTAGGACATTTTAACCAATATTGTTACAGTTACAAACAAGGATTAAGCAAAATTCAAGAAACAATATTCGTAATGAATGGAAAGTTTCGAATGTGAGTACCCGATTGCAACCTATATTCGTTAAGTAATATTACAGTAATTAAGAAGAGGATGGAAGATTCAGAGTAGCAGTCGCATTAGTTACTAAAATTATAAACTAACACTGGAAAACGTGAACTAACTGTTTAGAGTTTGGAAGATAATCTTAATCGGTGGTTGAAGAGATTATGACATTAAAGAGGTATTACATACTGTGTTACAAACTGAAAGCAGATACTTCGTATAAATTATATTGCTTTTTTACATTATAGACAATAAACATAGTAACTGAATATCTTGCTTAAATCACTACAGAAAGTCTGACATTATAGGATTGATGTGACGTAGGATTTTGAATGCAATATTTTATTCTTTTGGAAGTGTTAATCAAATTCAAAGCATTCGATAAAGCACTTAAACTGATAAAACCCAATCCAATTCCACGACCTAGTGACTGACCATAACCACCATCTTGAACATAACCAATTAGAAGACGAGGATTCTGAGGAGATTCCTTATCATCTGCTGAATTAGTCACAGGATTACTGTTATCCTCTTTTGAATTTTTTCTAGTAGATTCATTAGGATAGAATGCGTAAATACGCGCATATGCCTGTGGTACACCTCGGTGTTCAGTTTTCACATAAACCTTAAATACAAATAATAAAAATTATGTAAGAGATCTTATTAGTGAATAAACAAAAAGCAGATTGTTTTAAAGTCTTATAGTTACTCAGTTGTCCAGCGGGAATTCTATAAAATATGCCATTTTTAAAATTATTTCTGAAATAAATTTATAAACGTCATGTTTCGAACGGAATGGTCTGTTTCAAAATTTCAATGGGAGTTTCACATAGCTCCTACCAAACTTGAATAAGCTGTATGATTTATGAAGAATAAGGTCGGTAACTTAACGTTTTTATGTTCTACGTAATATGTATACTCACAGTACATCATGATCGGACCTGAATGAAATTCATTAAATACAGTGCCAGTGTTTTGCATATCTGTCCTAAAATTGAATGAATAAATGATCCGTCTGTATTAGATTTAGGTTGGCGTCTGTAGTAGTCAGATTAAACAGTATCTCTCTTTACATCTAAAGTTCGTACTTGCGACAAATAAACCTTCACAAAACAGCGTGCCAGTAGGGAAACGCCTTCATATATTCACCAAGCTAAAATGCGAAACCCCCCTCAAATAAAGTGTATTCCTTTCAAGTTTTAGCTACATTTTCCAAGATCCAAGTTAGTAACTAAGATGACAAACGAATAGACAGCTTTATATAAAAATAAAAAGCTTTAGATGGAACTCCTTTTTTATCTGAGATACCATCAAGCGACGTTACAAAAAGATAATATGTCAGTACTTCTGATTTCATTAAAACCAAAAACCGATCTATGTTAGACAACTACGAGGCACTCGTTGACTGTTCCACCATAGTATAAATTTCCCCAGCTGTGCGCATCCACTACTTCGGATCTGGGAGTCTGACCCAAGAAATTTAGTCTTGTGTGCTAACACTTGACGGGATCCGCTTATGTACAAGTCTAATTCCCGGCCAGTTCAAGATATTGCGCGACTATCTTTCATTGTATTTGGTGAGTACATTCTTATTTTCCACGAAGTTCATACAACGAAACAGCTAACAGATTATTGCGTACAAATGATATGCAAATACGTTATAAGTCCCATAAGAAGAAGAGATAGTTTGCCCCATGAAAATGAGAGGTAACGACCATCAATGCCTTTAGGAATGCTTATGCGCATGAGCGCAACCTTATGTACCTCTGGTATGTGCATATAAAGCATAAGATGTAGCAAATACGACTCAAAGGAGTGACGACCATCAATCCTCACACGGACGAGATTATGCTCTGGGATGCATCTGAAAACCTGTTACTGGTATGCATGTACTAGTCCTAGGCGCGACGCCTGCGCGCCAAGACCAACGAAGTTCCTACGATTTCCGGGTATGTTTGTCTTAAAATGGCAATTAAACAGCTAGTAAAGCCAATCGGCTTCACTAATAAAAGCATAACCAACTTCAATGGGGCTGATACGTCAAGAAACAATATTGAAGTTGAAAACTCAGATAAAGTGTGAATGTAATAAACATGGACCTGATCCTTTATGGAAGAGAAAACTTAAAATAAATCTAATCTTTTTCTTCCAAATGCTTAATAAACTATCATATACATCCTATGAAGTAATTTAATATTCAGAAATTCATAGTTGCAGCATCCGTAACTCTTTGTCATTAGTGAAACGATCTTTAAATGCTTGATTGCTTTTATTGCTGAGCCTACTAAGTAAACTTCCTTACCTGCTGAGTACTTTACACCCGCACTGTCCCTCGTAAACTTAGTAAATTTGAATAATATCTAACACGAACAGGATATCATAAAATAACCTAGCACATTTATCATGGTAGACCAAACTAACCTATCGTAGTAATAATTGCTTTAATTATTCGGTGCTTTCTGTTTCTGTTTTATTTTCTCTAGTTGTAGATGATTATAATCAATCCGTTATGACACATCAACAGTATATCTACTTAAAAAACAATTAAAAGCTCTTAGATGATACCCTTCATCGCTTTAATACAATTTTGGAACTGGAAAACTTAAAACAGACTTATATCACATCTCTGTTCTCTACATTTAATATTGATATTTATATCAAGCTGATCATGCCTATAAACTGGTATGAATTCTGTAATTATTTCATTCAGAATATCTTTATTATTATTATTATTATTATTATTATTGGCATTAGTAATATTATTATTACCTATTCCATATTTGTAAACACTTACTTAGTTTAATTGATTATTACACAAAAATAATAAAATATTGAATAAAGCCATATTGACTACTATAAATTAATTAACTTACTAGAATAATTGCATTTAAAAGTAATGAATTATAATTATACAATTGTTGTAATGATAATTTAGCACGATTTTCTCCAATGATCATTCTATGTACAACTAAACGAAGTAATCCTGGTTCACGAAGAACAAACCATTGATTATTATCAACTGAACTAGATGTAATTACATTATCATTACTAGAAAGTGTTGATGAAACAATTGAATCCGTTGTTTTTCCAATACTTATAGAATTTTGTGTAATCAGTTCAGACCAAGGATAAAGAAATGGACAAGTAATACCGAATTTAGTAAAATCAGGGCGTAAATTACTTGGAAGGCGACTGAAAAGAGATATATATAAATTAAAATGGAGCATGAAAATTCTTGGCATTTTATAAGAAATCGATGTAAACGAAAGATTGGAATCAATAAAATATTATCAATATAAATGACGTAGGTTGATCCCTTATATTATTCTTCATCAATCTTTAACTTTGTTCTGATTTTTTTTTAAATCCACTCCGTTATTTTAAGAATGTAAATACAAAAGCTGATTCATTTAAGTGGAATTTCTATATATCATTTGGTTAGAAAAAAAGCTAACATATATTTGATGATACAGTATAGGGTTGTGGAGATTATTAATTTTTTGATTTAGACCATGAACTGGTTGATGTTAAACCACCATTGAAATCTTGGAAGCACTGGACAGCCGTTTCGTCCTATTGTGGGACTCCTCAGCAGTGTGCATTCACGATCCCGCTCGCAGGGTCCAGTTCATGATCTCAACTAAAAAATATATATATGATGACAGACCGATCATAGTAATGTTTCCTGCTGTTATTCCGTGCTCTTTTTTTCTTCTTTCATTTTTTTTCTATTTTTACATTTCTAAAATTACCGAGTAACAGGAATCGAATCGCTATTGGCGACTCCATTTATTAAAAAACATGAAGTTCTTGTCCTACAACTAAGAAAATACTGATTACTAACTGTTTGGTCTTATGAATCATTTATCATGCCACATGGTTCATACTACTCCCTTAACGTACTTAATCTCTTCTCACATTGCTTACTGAGATAATTGTGTTTACAAGGCTGATAAGTTCTACGTGGTATACTCCAGTAAAAATGTTATACTATAAAATGCTGTCATTTATGATTGTACAATCCACCTGCTTCATGTTATTAAAATTTATGTGACAAGAGTTTAACTTAAAACATCTATGAATCACGTACCATTACTTTTTAAAATAAACTTGATTATCTATACGAATAGCGAATAGCTTGACAGTAACTGAGCGCCGAGTATAGAGAAGTCATTATATGTGAAAATTATATTTGATATATTCTCAGCGATTGAAATTTAACTAATTCCAACGTTTCGTCCAGCTAACTTGTCTGGACTTCTTCAGGGTAATAATCAAAATCAAAATTATTAAAGAAATATATAGCTTTTTGACAATCAGGATTATACTGTGTTAAACCAATCATATTTGGATGTTGATTTTTTGTAAAATCGGATAAAATGAGTCAGTTAACTACAAATCATGTGAAGAAATCAACTACATGGAAATACTTAACTGAGTACCAAATCGTATGTGTGTGAGTGTGTAGGTATGTATGTATGTATGAGAGATTGATATGAAGGAATAAATAAAGTTCAAGTTCAAGGATGAAAAATTGATAATGAAACATCGATGTACATGACAAAACATAAATTGTATTGTTTAAAAAACTCATTGAGTTCTTTCAAAAATAACATAACACCCATAAAGAAAGATTAGGAGCAGAAGCGCTGCATATATGGGCGAACAAGAACAGCCTGAACCGAAAAGATGGTATTCAACTGGCGACTACCTGGCAAATTTCGTCTGACAAGTAAATTTGGAACCTATCTCTTGTTTAAACCTGTTTTTTAATATCACATGCATCCTATTTTACAAAAAAACCAACATCAGAATATGACTGGTTTAACACAGTATAATCCTGATTGTTAAAAACCTATATATTTCTTTGATAATTTTGATTTTGATTATTACCCTGAAGAAGTCCAGACAAGTTAGCTGGACGAAACGTTGGAATTAGTTAAATTTCAATCGCTGAGAATATATTAGATATAATCTTCACATATAAAAGCTTGATTATCTCTGTAAATTAATGTGCATTCTGTAGTTATTTTCAAAATCTATACCATATTATTATTATCATTCTCATTAACCAAATTATGCACACTAAGAAATAGTAATACACTATTAATTTACATCAATTTATTTAACTTCTCTTTAGTGACAATTTCTGCAGATTTCCGACCAGCTAAGGTATCAGGCCATAAAGTTTCTGGAAATGAATCAAAACGTCCACCTGCACATGTTCCAAGTCCCGCCCAATAATATAAATCTCGTAGACCTCCAACTTCAGCTCCTCGATAAACACAAGCTATAAGAAAATCACGCGCTGTTAAAGAACCACGAAGTAATAAATCATTATCTGACTGTGGAAAATTTCGTCGTAATATTATATCCCAACCAACGGTTTCAGGTGACGAACGAATCAATGACGGTGTACTATTCTGGATCAAAACAACATCTATACTGTTTTCTTTAGTTTGCTAATCGAGTAATAATAAAAGCAACATGAAACATAAACAAGTATGAAACCATTAAAGGTAAAAATAAATAATCACTTTCGAAGTCCCATAAGAAAGATTATTTGTTAATAGTCAGGGTAATCGAGAAGAATAACTTACTCCAATATCTTAGAATACCAATTCACCTTGTTTACAATAAGTCCTAAAAAATTCATTGTACTTGTTTTATCTTCCGCATAAATTGAGATTCTCTATGAACATGATATAAAAATATTTCTCATAAAACATTTATAATCACCGTAGCAAGCACCAGTCGATCTACGCAAACCCAACATTTAAGACCTGGAAGCTCTGGACGATCATCTTGTTCTAGTATAGAACTCCTCAGAAGTGTGCATGCATGATCCTACATCCGGGACTCGAACCAAAAACCTTCAGTCTCGTTCGCCAGACGGCACCCAACGGTGTTAGCGTCTAACTTCAACCAATCTATGATCTTGAGCAACCCTCCATCCCAAACCTGAGGTAGATATTTGTCTCGCACCCAACACAGAGTGGACTCCACTGGTCACGGATTCTCACTAGAACTCCAGAAGTTACATCAGGAAGCCAGTCACTGGTGAGAACAGTATTGTTATCAGTATGGAAATTTGCGAAGATTGCAGTATTTTCACAGTTTAATTCATGAGTCGACCTAAATTGTCTACAGGTTAAGCATCCGCGCGCGATTCGAAGGTTCTGGGTTTGAGTCCCGCAAGCAAGATCGTGTATGTGTGATGCTGAGGAGACCCATACTAGGACGAAACTGTCGACCAGGTCTTCAGTGGTGGTTTAGCTTAAATCAACTCGTGATTTCAACTGTGAAAATACTGCAATGTCTACAAATCCCTATACTGAAAACTGAAATTTATTTCATGTAAAACATTTAAAATATTAAAATTAAAGAAAAAACCAATACCAGATTAATTTTTGTTGAGAGTAATTGGTCAGGTGAATTAGTGTGATTTGGATAGAATTTCTTAATATCTAACCAAGATAATTGTTTACCAGAAGGTAGTACGAAACCAGATTTGTTATTTAACGATTCATTCATACGTAATTGGTCCTGATTTTGAGGATCATTGTCACTTAATTTGATTGGCATGAGAGACCAATTTCGATTACGAATTTTCAAACGTGGCCTACAAAATATATTATTGAAAAATATAGAACTGTGTATAATGCAGCACACTATTAGCATAGTCAGAAAGCAAACAATTCTTTAAAATGAACATATTGACAGTGTCTAATAAGATTATATGAATAAAGAAGCTATGACGAACAATGAAAGCGATTTTTGATAGCCACTGCTTCATTTAGTTTCTATAAATCATAAGCTTTCGTTCAGTTCATGATTTACTGTCATACCCTTTCAAGTCCCAAAACTGTTTTAATTTAAAACGTGACCTTAATTAATCTCTTTTTCTATCCTGATGCTTAGTTTTGACATAATTGTATTTTCCTAGTTCTTTGTGTGTTTTGATCATGTTAGTAATCTACCTTTTCATGTGTCTTTGCGTTAATCTGAATCAGGAATAATTCGAGTAGTGTTCCAATGGATTCGTTTTCTCTCACTCTCGCTTGTCATCCGATTGGATGGTAGAATAGTTTTAGTTTTTCTGCCTCCAAAGCTGTTTAGTCACAAATCGAACTCACGCATTATTGGCTTCAAGGTTAAATTAGGTAGCCTATCGCGTCAAGGCCTTAAACTAAATTAGGACAAGTTCTCTCTTGTAAATAATTACATAGGAGGATCAAGGACATAACACAAGCAGTAGAATCAGAACGAGATACATTGTCTCACTGGAAACTCAACAGTTCGGTTTCCCAAAGGTTCTTGATACTGAAGACTTACAATCGATTACTCTACAAGCTCAAACGAGCTGCAACAAAACTTACTTTTGAATGGAACATGAATGTCAATATACTAAAAACAGGAAAAAGTTGAGTGCTCGTTTAAGATAAACTATGAATACCAAGAACAGATACTACACTTTAAAAGTTATACACTTTGGATAAGAAAATAAATTTTTTAATGTTCGGATAGTATAATCAAATACATTAGCGCAATACATTTTGAAATTCATTTCGTTGATATATCACATAGTTCTCATAAAATTCATCTCCTTGTTATACAATCCAAATTTATTAAATGGACTACTTGTATCAGATATGTAATATTTCCCAGATCAACTTTTTGAATAATTTTACAAAATATTATGTATGCTGAATTTATTAAATAAAGAAGTGGTAGCACACAAGCAAGGAAAATGACATTTCACAAGATCATTTTGACTGTGATACTATTCATACAGTTTTAATTAACTCTCAAAAGGTATTCATCAGTACGGGGCTGTGGAGATTATTAAGTTTTTTGATTGAGATCATGGACTGATTGGTGTCAGACTACCATTAAAAACCTGGAAGCACTGGACGGCCATTTTATCCTAGTGTGGGTCCCCTTAGCAGTGCACATCCACGATCCAGCATGCGAGATCATAGATCGCTTGGTGTTGGACATTAACACCGTTGAACGACAGCGCAATGGTCTAGAGGTTAAGCGTTCGCGCGCGAGACCGGATGCACTGGGTTCAAATCCCGCGAGTGTGATTGTGGATGCGCACTGTTGAGGAGTCCTACAATGAGATGAAACGGCTTTCCAGTGCTTCCAGGTTTTCAATGGTTTATTTATTTATTTGAACACATAAATATTGATACAACGAGGCACCAGATATATATGCGCCACACATTTCATTTTAGTTGTGTGAAGACTATGATACTACCCGGGTGCCCACACCGAAACAGGTGGTTCTCTTGGAGAGCCACACCCCAAGCCTTTGACCTAAAGGTCTGATCCACAAGAAAGTGATGCATGGTGAGGGCATGCAGTCTCATGGTAGCCAGTGACCAACAATTGGTTCATACACAATTTGTTCCCTCAGGATAATGGAGCCCATGTGCATCATTGGTTTGCAATCAGGATTTCCCAACTCCCCTAGATGGATTTTCCATGTCCATCAACCGGGTTAAAGCGTCGGACATTCGCTTTTCGTCCTCTCGCTTTTGTAATCAACACCCCCGCCACGAGAAGGCAGTGACTATGACTTCCCTGACAGAGGCTATATACGCGTGGTCATGTGAGAGCATTTCGAGAGGGAGGGAGGGCCCTCCCCCAATCTTGGCAGTACTAAGGCATTAGGAGTGATCTAACATCAATCGATTCATGATCTCAATCAAAAATTTCAAAAGGTAAACTAAATTAATATCAGTTCAGAATAATGGAAGTGATCATAGTAATGATAACATTTTAAGTAAACATGTAATGTAATTGGAAAATTCATATTATTACATATGAATAATCAACAACAACAACAACAAAAAGAATGTATACAGTTAAAAATGTGTATTAAGGTCAAGGATTAATGAAAATGATTCATGTGATCTTATTATTGAAATTTCAATAAAAATGTTTGACAATAAAATGAAAACAAAAAATTTGACAAAATCAACTGACCTGATAAAGGCATTTAACAGTTAATCATTTATTTAAATGAAGTATTAACTGATATTATCTGACTTTTAAAACTATTGTACTTCCTGATAGTATGGTTAGTAAAAATAATCTGTTGAATATTATAATAGAATTCCTTACATAATATATTGAATAAGTTCCAAATATAATAATTTACCATTGTTATATTCTACAACTAGATACATTCTATATAATTTATGTTTATAAAGTAGGAGGTTTTGTGGAGATTTTATTAATTTCAGTAGTTGAATTCATGAGTCAATTGAAGCTAGACCACTATGGAAAACCTGGAAGCACTGGACGGCTGTTTCGTCCGTTGAATGCCGGCTCAGTGGTCTAATGGTTAAGCGCTCGCGCACGAGACTGATAGGTCTAGGGGTTCAAATCTCGCGGGGGGCGGGATCGTGGATGCACATTGCTGAGAAGTCCCATACTAGGACGAAACGGCCGTCCAGTGCTTCCAGGTTTTCCATGGTGGTCTAGATTCAATTGACTCATGATTTCAACTATCCTATATATAATAATCTATTATTTAGATATTTAAAATTGAATTCAAACACACTAGTTTTGTATAATAATAAAAAATAAGCTATGAGTTTTTTAATCAAATTGTTTCACATTAATCTAATCTATTGAATAGTTCATTAGTTTCTCAACTAATATAAATATCAAACTTAACACAATTTTGTTTCTAATAGATTATTCTTATATCAAATCAAGATAAATATAAATTAATCACAACAACAATACAAAACAAAGATCCAGATAGTGAATGAATTTTCAAAAAAAAAATTGATCTTTTTATTTATATATTGTACGTATATTCATTCTAATCCAAGTGGACAATTTAAACACTTATGGTTAAAGATAATAGATGACTCTTACAATGGATATCATTTTTTCCGCTTGGTAATAAGTAAACATGCTTATAAGACAATTAGAATAAAAAAATAAGGAACGCTAACTTTATATTCGATCTTTCTTGTATATATTATTATAATTGATGTAACTACTTTATGAATTCGGTGTTCATCTTGGTGTAATAATGAGGTGCGGTAATCTGGACCGACACATATGTGCCTGGTCCTACGCTAAAGATGACTGAAGGATATAAGGTGAGTAGATGTGTGGTAGATTAGTTGCTGGCTGCATGCATTTATTTACTAAATCATAACTACTAACGAAGTGAATGTGCATATATACACAGATCCATCATTTTTTTCACATTGTAAACTTTCCCATTATACACATCTTACTGACTTATATTTTCCTACCCATTAAAATCAACATAAGAATATGATTTGATAATCTTTTAGTGTAGTTTTTGTTGTTAAAAGTTATTTACTCTAGAATAATTTTGATTTTGATTATCACCTTGAAGAGGTTCTTATTTATTTATTTGAACACATAAATATTGATACAACGAGGCACCAGATATATATGCGCCACACATTTCATTTTAGTTGTGTGAAGGCTTTGATACTACCCCGGTGCCCACACTGAAACAAGTGCTTCTCTTCGAGAGCCACACCCCAAGCCTTTGACCTAAAGGTTTGATTCACAAGAAAGTGGAGCATCGTAAGGAGATGCAATCTCATGGTAGCCGGTGACCAACAATTGGTTCATACGCAATTCGTTCCCTCAAGATAATGGAGCCCATGTGCATCATTGGTTTGCAATCAGGGTTTCCCAACTCCCCTAGATGGACTTTCCATGTCCATCAACCGGGTTAAAGCGTCGGACATTCGCTTTTCGTCCTCTCGCTTTTGTAATCAACACCCCCGCCACGAGAAGGCAGTGACTATGACTTCCCTGACAGAGGCTATATACGCGTGGTCATGTGAGAGCATTTCGAGAGGGAGGGAGGGCCCTCCCCACTCTCAACCGTACCACGGAAGTTGGGGGCCTGACGAACAATGAGTGGACGTGGTAAAGGTGGGAAGTCTCGTGCATGAAGAGGTTCAGACAAGTTTGTTGTAAGAAACGGAATGATTTAAATTCCAACCGTTTATAATTTTAGCATATAATGTCCTTCATATACTCGGAGCCTAATTTCTGTCAAATTCTTCATTTAAATATTGACAAATATTTATATAGATCCAGAACAATGTGTATGAGACTTCTGAGAACTGATTCATTAGTTTTTACAAAATCATACTTTTATTATTTTCATTATGTCGTTGCAAAAAGAAAATAATGTTCCTTTTTTCATCGCACTACTGTTCACACAGATGCGTCAGTTGACTAAGAGGATAGTATATTAAAACTGATAAGAAAACCTATAATCATGTTGAGACTATAATTTATAGACGAACCCAATCACATTTAAGATAGCAGGTTTTGAATTTTGGTGCAAAATTTATTTATTCATTTGGCTAAATAACAATTTGGCATCATAGCTGATGTCAGTTCGTGATAAAAACAGTAAATCTAATTCGTAACATTCAACTGTAGATCCTAATGCTAAGTCCTTACACTAATATATAATCCACATTTAACCCTAGTAAATAGGTGGACATTCCAAAGTCATTTTAGCGTTTCTCAAAGGTCATCCATAAATTATAGTCTTACTAGAATTATAATGAACACATTGTTTCATTCGATTGTTCATATTCGACATGTACAGCTTTTAGCCGATGAGTTCGAATTTTCTCTACTTCAGAATTATGATCTATGTTGTCAGGTGATCTGAATAATCCTAATAGATTGTTCATTTATTCACTTGTCAAGCCAATTAGAGACAATCATTCAACTACTTTCAAAATTATTTAAAATGTACATTGCGTTGTTTCTTGTTTAATAATAAAATGTGGCAACCACAAATCAGGTACATTAAAGTGAATAATTGTAGTTAATATGTGTTGGTCAGTGCAATCTGTTCATTATTATCATATCGATTACATTTGTAAACGTCAAACTGATGAGAAAAAAATTCTTTAAAAATTCTTTCTTTACCTATTAGAACGGAAATTTTCACAATCCTGTAGACTAATAACAAGTCCCGATGGGACACAGACAGCTTCACGTATACTTGTAGAAACATTATTCCAAGATTTCCAATTTTCGTCAAGTGTACTCCCATTCTTCAATTGAATAATATCACTGATTAATCCATGTGATTGTCGACCGATTAAACGAAGGCGACAAAAGTAACCCGTTACATCATCTAGTTCAAGTGCACATTGTGTATCATTTAAAGAATTGACTTCTTTAATAGAAGTTTGTAGTAATTCCCAAGCTGATGCAGACATTGCTGGATGAAGCCATAACCAAATATGACGAAAGCTTTCGTTTAGCTTCAAATGTTTATTTTTTTACAGGAATAAAAAAATAACGAGGATAAATAACAGGATTTAATAAGGATATTTAAACAATACTATAATCAGCACCGATTCGAATTATCCCGTTGCTAATATTGTGGATTAAATTTTTACCAGTCGTTATAAGCATCTTGTCTGTGCCGATTGTTTCAATTAATAATATCAAATGATATAAACACCGTACTCAATGAACAAGTCAGTAGCTATCTGGTCACAGTGGATAACGTGGTTGAAGTTCGAATCGAAAATGAGTTCAGTATAGGGTGTGAATATCAACAGTAGGATGCAGATACATTTAAGTCCTAAATGAAACAAAACACACTTTTGGGACTTTAACGTAAACTAAAGTTCATCAATTCGACAGTGTATTTGAACAATAAATTTTCCCTTTTCTTATTACAATTGCTGTGCCTGATATAGTGTTTTAGATATTAAATGGAGTATATAATCAATTCATTATTTAAAATGATGAGTAATTCAGTATGAAAATGACTACTAAATTCATCAAGATTTAATGCCGATCAAATAGACATTAACAGTCCTTGGTGGTGAATTATATTAGGTACTTTAACGCACAATATGCACCAGGACCAGATATTTCTTGTAACTTGGCATAAGCACCATCTTATTTTGACTTTTTGATTGCATAACAGGTATTTTTTTATCAACTTCAAATATTTTAAGAACCAAACATTGCTAATTTTTATTTGGTTCATTATAAGATGTAAGTCATCCAGCACTGTGCAAAACGTAAGAGGAGCTATCTCAATTTTGATTGATTAACTCAAAACCATCAGTATGATATACTTTTACTGAGATTTCGTATCAAGGTTTAACTTTCGTCATATTTGCGTTGTTCACCTGGCATGCTGGTTTCCGGTACATTGACATTCCCATAGCAAACAGTTATGAATAATGCCAGACTCTTCAAATGAAATATTTGGTGAGAAATTCACTTTAATACGTAGCAGTTATCCATTCAACGGATGAACTGAATGCAACACCTATTGGACAGTGAAAACGTTGTGAATATTTTTAGTCAGACGACAAACTGGTTAATGGATTAGATTGACCCTCCCTGATTGAATCATAATTATTTAATCAGATAAGTACATACTTAATGTCCTTGGTTAGACTATGGGGCTGACATATAAATATGAAGTATATAATGTGACTAACAAGGTAAAATGTGGATCACATTTTATTGTGTTCCATTTTAACCTTATACCTTTGGATTCAGTTATTAGTAATTAAAATACATTTAAACATTGTAAACTTCTCATTCACACTCATCTAGTCAGTTCAGTCACGAACCATGTGACCACTTTGTGTCACATTACAGATAAAGGTCATCAAGTAAGTAACCATCATGAAGCAGGAGATCATTAGATGAGTAAACAATTCAATATTTTGTTACTAACACTAACCATATTGATAAGTTACAACTTCTGACAAGCTTAATGAAGTCAGTATAACAGGAGGGAAAATCAACTTGATGAAGATTCTTCAGATATCAGCTAATTGCTAGGTGATCAAAGTGATTTGGGAAGATCATGAGTAAGAGTATAATATAAGAACGAAATATGAACAAACAGGACAAACTTTTAGTGGGTTCTTAGCAAATCGGAAAACAGTTTCTGCAAATAAACAGTTTGTGGAAAACAAGACAATAATATTACAAAGCGTTAACCAAGTTTACATAATTAATAAGTCTGATGAAATCTTTCAAATATTTTTCAGTCTATAGATTGAAAAAAACAAGATTATACAAATTTATTTACATGGGTATGAAACATCATTCTTCTCGAGCCCTTACAAGTCAACATCAACATTTCTAGGAGTACCCAGATTGTTCCTGTTTAAGGTTACAGATTTACGGCTAGAATTAGTGAATTTAGGGTTAGGATTAGGAATTCAACCTTATGGTATATTGAGTGTTATGTGCATCTTTAGTATAAAGCATCGAGTAAATGAAATGTTTCACGACAGAATTTTCAGATTGTGATGCGAAAACATAATACTCCACATTATCATTCTAAACTCTTTGAAAACTATACAAACTTATTTCTACTACTAGTTTGACGTGATATAAAATAAAGTTCACTTAATTTCGACCATAATTATCTTTGCTAATTTAGTGGCTAACAAATCAGTTTCAAAGTTTACATCACAAAATGATTCTCGCTAGATCAGTACTAAAAGCCTGAAAGCACTGAGCGGTCGTTTCGTTCAATTATGAGTAGTGGGGTCGAAGACTCGCTTTACTGACGAGTCCCATACTAGGACGAAACGGCCATCCAGTGGTTCTATGTTCTAAATGCTAATCTAGTAAAGATTGGTTTGTGATTTAAACTTTGAAAATGCAGAAATATCCGCAAACTCCTAACGATGACAATAACAATCATGCAATTGTCCCAAAAATTCAATTACAGTCAATATATGAAGCTCGAAAGGAAGATCCAACTGGTCAAATATTGAACAGTGGTTATAGAAATTGGTTTTGATGAGTGAGAAATAAAAGTTGGTCAGCAAATATCACAGAGATTTAGTGAAAAGACTAAGTACAAAAAAAATATACCAAGATAGCTGGCTTTATAGACCAAAGATTCTAAAAATGTGCCCAATGTCAATCGATTGATAATTTGCCACAGAACAATATGGTAACTGTTAAAGAGACCCACTTATTAACTGAAAGCGCCGAATCAATTATGGGTCAAAGTTAAAACAAGAACGCAGAGCAATATGTTTTGCTTCATTAAAATAACGCAGCTATATACAGAAAGCTAGATATAAAAATAAAAGTGGTTAAACCGTCAGTATATGGTGGTGAGGATTGCTGAACTTCATTGAATATACTAAACTGTGTCAAGTATGAGGGAGGTTCTCAACGAACACTGTCGAGAACTGATTGGAATTAGACTAGTACACTAGTGGGCCCCGGCTCAGTGGTCTAGAGGTTAAGAGTTCGAGAGTAAAGCTAGGGTTCCTGGGTTCGATTCCCAGATGCGGGATTGTAGGTATGCGCACTTGAGGACGAAGTGGCCGTTCGGTGCTTTCATGTTTTCAACGATTGCCTAACTTCGACCAGTTCATGGTTTTAATGAAATCCGTTATATAACATAAAGAATTGAAAAGTATAAGAATTACAAACCTATCACTGACTAATGAATCAATCATTAAAACTTAATTTTTGACAGATATTTTAGACTTCGATATGGAAGTTAACCAGCTAATGTCATAGTTGCATAAATATTTTGTAATATTAAAGGTGAGCGATATCAATTTCGATGTGCCATTATTATCTATCAACAACCTTAAAAATTCAAAACAACTATTCATTGGAACATAAGTGATCACTTGACATTTAAATCAGTTAATCAATGCTAAAAATAACAAGAAAAGTCGATTAGAAACTAATCCATAAACCATTATGTGTAATCAATTGGTTAAGACAGTTTCTGAAGTCACAAAACTGTAAAATATTCAATTATCTGGAATATGTACTTCAAATTGCTCTACAAAGTATGAATAAACAATTAAACAAATAGGAAATTTTGCAATCATCAAGCAAAATATAGAAGATAAACATAATTAGTCAAATGATAAATACCTATTTAGAAAAATAACAATCAACTTACTGAATTTAATGAACCCCATAGAATTCGAACAGGTCCAAGTACTGGACGAGAAATATCTTTAACGTATTTATTAGTTGCGTATAAAATTCCAGTTTGTTCACATGACCATAAAGGAGTTTTCATGTTAGACAATTCAGGAAGCCAAGAATCAACTTGATAATCTAATTGAAATACATCATTTAAACATTTCATTAACATATTCTCAGGTCCATATATTTGGAAACAATTAAGATAACTGACGTCAAACAATAAACAACCACTAAAATTTTTAAAAAAAAACAATAGCAACAAAAAGGTTAGTTCACATGAACAAGTACAAATAAGTAAGTAGTTACAAGCTACCACATTGTTGAGGTCATCGTAATTATTGTAACTAATGGTTAGATTTTAGGTGATATAACTAAGAATTGTTTGCAATAGCACATGTGCATGAATGTTTTAATTTTTTTTTCTTAGATTCTAAATTACCGTGCAAATTGTTTTTTTACTAGAGATAAAAATCCAGATAGATATCTGTTAGCCCAGGTTGTAATACTAGATTAGTACGACTAGATGTAATTAAAAGATAAATACTAAATAAACTGAAATAATGTAAAAGTAATGATAATGAGAAAAAATAAAGATTGAGAATACAGTGGTAAAAAGTAGAATGGAAAGGTGTGTATGGAAAAAGATATTGAAACTTAAGATCTGGAAGAAAACAAGGAGTAGATCCGTTCATGATTTTATAACCGATTTGGAACTATATCACCCAATGTCTTCAACTCCTGATCGCGATTAACACGAGGACCCTTAATCGGATATTTCACATATACCAACATGGTTTAGGTTGAGTAAGCAAATTTATGAATTGGTGATTATAATAGCATATAGAATTCTTTTATAAGCCTGGATAATTTAGATAAATGAACTATTTTGATCTTTCTACTTATTTATCCATTTACACATATGACCAAATGATATGTGCATTGTACAACATATATATTTATATGCTTTCTTGGATGTTTCATACACATAAACGTTGTATGATGTGTTAATTAAATAGAGTTCGCATGGTTGACATCTCCGCTTGACATATTACTTTTGTCTGAGTAAATAAGTACCTGAAATAAATTTATCCAGCTTACTACTACCATTGCTCAAACGGGGTTTTAGCTGAAGCAAAATGTACGGAATTAAAGAGAGAATTAACATTCATTTATTATTTCTAATAAAGCCAATGAGTTGCCACACTATCATAAACCATAGGTGAGGAGTCGTGGATGCGCGCTGCTGAAGAGTCCTGTACTAGAACGAAACTGCTGTCCAGTACTTCCAGGTTTTCAATAGTGGTCTAGCTTACATTAACTCATGAATCCAATTATTAAAATTACTACGATCTCTCCGATAACTCATAATTACAATTCCCAAATAAATAATTCCTGTATATAATAAAAATAGTAAGATATTGAAAAGATGAAATACAAAATTTCGACTAGTTAAGAATGATTTTCAAGGATTTCTTCTTTAAATTATAAAAATCATTAAAACAGCGCCTCTGCTACAATTAAACTTGTTTTCGATTAATTTTGTTAAGTTCAAAAATTAACTTATTCAACAGACAGTGTTTTTCGAACAGTAAAAATTTGTGTCGTTTTATTATTATGATGATGATGACTGCATGAACATGCATGCTGAATATGTGACAGTCCACGCAAATACCCCTCTCTCCAGCTAAAATGTTGTTGCTTAAATATCACTGGATGAATCGATCGCTTCCGCATATATATATATATATATATATATATATATATATATTATTATTAATCGATTTGTCTCGGAATTCGCCTCTGTATTCGCTTGCTTGCGTGTATTAGCTTTTCCGCTCAAATTCGTTTGACGTTCTTGTAGCTTAGTGATCTGTGCAACGCAATAATAAACTGTAGTCCGAGCTTCATGTTGCCTTCGCAATTTATACACCGTTGGAATTTAATTAATAATGGTTATTAGGGTGATTAACATACGAAGCCTAAGGAATTATCTCGAAGACAAACCACCATAAACAACAATCATTATAATACATGTAATAATATTTTACTCATCTATGGAGCTGGAATGGATTGCCCAGGACAGGGTTGGATGGAGAATGCTGGTGAGTGGCCTATGCTACTTCATGAGGAGTAACAGGCGTACGTAAGTAAGTAGGCAATGGTGTCCATATTACATTACATTTTCTATCAAAGTAATTTCCCAATAAGATATCAACTTCTTAACTAAAAATTCAAATAAATAACCTTAAAGATAGGTTGATTAATTAACATTATTAAAATAACTTACTTATGAGATGCTTTATAACATGCTTTGAATATTTTATTCGTTGGTGCATAAGGTAAACGCCAACCCCATTTTGTAATCATATGAAATCGTTTAGCATGCCATATATGTGTTGGTAACCAGAATGATTTTTTCTTTTTTAAATGGTTATTATGTTTATTTGTTGTAATAAAACGTGCATGTAAAGCTAAAAGACGTAATGTACGCCGACGATATCGGCGGGATTTTAATTTATTTTTAATTCGAAATGTCTTCATTTCAAGAGAGAAAATTAGAGAGAAAAACAGGTTCTGAACTATAATAATAATAATAATGATAATGTTTAATTGTCATCACATATGAGTCATAAAATTTAACGAGCAGAATAATAAAGGTTTTAACAATTAACAATGAGATTTCAAGAAAGAAAGATCTGCTATTTTTTTTACTCGTTTTCTGGTTTATTTTCAAAATGTACAAATATCTAAATTATATTCAGAATTGATAGTCAGTCAGTCAGCTACAACGTAGGATCAGGGACATATATGCATCGGACCAAGTTTCTATACCTCACTCATTAACACAACAAGATGAACACCAAATTCATAGAAGCAGTTACTTTAATTGTAGTAATTTATGAAAAAAAACACTTCATATAAAGATACGATACAGGGAGAAAGAATGGATGGATTCCCAACCGACCTGTTCTGTCAATCAAGCGTATTCTTAACAGAAACTAAATACAAAAACGTATTTATTTCATGAAATTTTCAATCAACAGATTGTTCTTTTAATAAATTACTTCCTGAAAAAGTAAAATGCAAGAATCACCGAATAGGTCATTGTATATGCTTGTATTCGACCAGAAACTAGAAGTTTATTAAGAAAACAATATGTAGATCGAGGATGTAGTTAATTGTTCAAGCTATCTGGTTCGTGACCGTGAGATTGTTGTAATAAACTGTTGAAGACTTAGAATACTATGATTCACAACCAGTTGTAATGAAGCAGATGTTTGTTACAAAATACTTATACTTTTTACTCTGTAAATTTATTCTCTTTTGGAATTATTGTCTGTGCCTAATCTTTTGGATTAACGTTGATTTTTTTACTACTTCTATTATATTGCGATTTATCGAAAATAACTTCATATCACCACGTTAGTGTGATATGGGAACTTGAACTGATGAGTGTATATACCATGTTCCATTTTGCTTATAAATGACTGGCCTCACAGATAATGAACATGAATATGTTATTCTCCTTACGTAATTGATGACAACTATATTTCAGACATAAAATCCTTTCTTTTATGATTTCGAATAAATAAGATGAATTTAACCACTATAGAAAAAAGATAATTGTTGTAAGTTATAACAACCTAGACTGATAAACACAATTGTATCACGTCCTATGTTGATTAAAATGAATAGTTGGAGACTATTCAAGTCGATCAAAAATGGTCATTTGAAGATGTAAAACCTTTAGACTTGTTTAAGTTTTTCACATTTCGTCTAAATTGACTCAAAATAGCTAAGTTAGTCACTAGTGGAATTTGTCGAGGTATAGTTTAGATTATACAAACAATCATATCTTAATACAGTATATATATACTTCCAAAATTTAGAAAAGATCACGGGATGAATGTATCAGTATGTCAATATGTCTTAGCACTAAATGCAAACATCAACAATCTCTAGACAATATTCTAGGCTCTAAAACTCGACGGCCATTTAGCCAGATTACAAGTGTTTAATCACCAAACGCTGGAAATAGGAGGGATTAACCATTCTATAATAAAGAAAGAAAATATCCTGGCTGGTGTGGATATTGTTCAGCAATACATTCAAAGTTTTCCTTTTATTACTTCTGCAGATAAAGATAAAGAGTGTTCTAAATTGAAAAAGTAATTGGCTAGTGACAATTTTCGGTAACTTGAGATATAGGTTCGATTCGGTTTATAGGAATTGCTAATTATGAACAATCGTGATTAGTCTAATACTATTGGAATCTATCATGAATGCGACAGAACCTTAGAAAACAATCAGCCGAGCAAAAGAAAACTTGATATCAAATGAAGACAAAATTAAAGTGGAACGACTCTATAGATCCATTGGTTAAAAATAACCTTGAGATACAAAAAACAGTAAACTAAAAGTGGTAAGAACCAACATGAAAACAGCAAAAACTGTGCAAAAATATGAACCATAAAAACTGTACTTGAGATCACAATTACAGGGGAAGAAAATTAACACTTATTAACAAATATAGAATATCCTATGATCTTAACATAAACTTGATAGTAAAGAAATGGTAGTTACAGAACATGATAAAAGTTAAGAAAAGCCTCTTACCCCAGACTTAGAACCATTCTCATTAGGGTTTGCAAGATGATGATGTTTATGAAAACGACGAGGTAATCTATTGATACGATGACTTGCAGCGCGTCTTCGTAAACGAACAGGCAATCGTTGAAGTCCAGTAAGTGCAGTGCTAGTTAAAACATTGACACTAGATTCAAAAGATGCTAATTCAGCTCCACGTACTGTAGCTAAACGCAATACATCAAAACAAGCATATTGTGAATATGTTGATTCTGGTAAATCATTTATGGGTTTAAAATCCATAATATTGCAATCTGCATTCAATGTAAAGAATAATACAAGATAATATCAATTTTAGATGTAATTTTTCAAACAGAAAAAGAAACACAATACAATAACTTATTGATAAAACATAAATTCAAGTATATAGAACCATTGTAGTTCTCGTTTTTTTATGTGTAGGCTAAAGGAATTATCTGGTTAACTAAAAAACAAATTAGCGAACTTAAATGTTTTACATTAAACTACAAAATTTTTGAGTTCTAATTCATTTTTGTGTTGCTTGTTTGAATCTTACCAATGATATTTAGGACTGCAATTGGTCAGTCTTTTATTGGCATATGTGAATCCTGTGTGGATTGCATCAATATTGCCTTAAGTCACAAACATTATAAGTACGGATGAATGGTGATTAGCAGTGGAATTCACGACACATGTTTAATCTTATTTGGGAATCGTCATAATCATAATTTTCAAATAATACATACAAAAATAAATTCAAATGTGGTTTAGTGTAATTATATGAAAAAAACAATTACCAGTATAGGGGTTGTGGAGATTATTAAGTTTTAGATTGAGAGCATGAACCGATTGATGTTAGACCACCTTTGGAAACCTGGAAGCACTGGACGGAAGTTGGTCGCGCAATTTCGTGGATTGGTTGATGTTAGACACTATCACCACTGGATGCCGGCTCAGTGGTCCAGTAGGTTAAACGTTCGCGCGCGAGACCGAAGGCTCTGGGCTCGAATCCCGCGAGCGGGATCATGGGTGCGCACTGCTGAGGAGTCCAACAATAGGACGAAACGGTCGTCCAGTAATTTCAGGTTTCCAAAGGTGGTCTAACATCAATCCGTTCATGATCTCAATCAAAAAAGCAATTGTAGTTATCATAACATTTATGCTTTTTTTATATAACAATGAAAGTATGTTGTGAATTAAACTAAATAATTGGATAGGTTATTTCATATATATTGTCTAATAAGACTTTCCAATAATTTCATAGATATATCATTATTGAAATTCAACACCAAATATTACGCAATAATAGTAATAAATATGAAATTGTAATGGATGCTATTAATTCTTATTCAGGAAGTAAAATGGTTATTAATCATGTTAGATAAATCAATAAATTGAAAAGGGTAATACTAGATATATGATAGAATGTGAATTATAATACACATTAAACTTACAAACCGTACATAAAAATATATATAGTAGGTGTATACCAAAAGATTATGTCATCTAAGTAGTAATTAGAAATAACGTCCGATTGAAATTCTGACAATTACATAATATAATCTCGTCTATTTAAAAATAATAATTCACTGATAAATCAAACACCTATTCATAATGCTTTACAAAACATGAGAAACTTTTTCTTACTCATTAACATATAAGGTTTATCATATCAAAGAATGCTTCCTATTACCGATATAATATATTAACTGTCACATTTATCATACGAATTATAACGCCACTCATGCAATAAAACAAGTTAATGGGTGAAAATATTGTATATCGTAAGAATTTACAAGCGTTTACATGATGTGCATACATAGTCTTCGATCATCCATTTGCATCTTGCAGTGTTCTGCAATCCAAACTGTCGTCTCGTCTGAATATCAAGTGTTTTTTTTTCTTACTCTGAGTTCTCAATGTACTGAAAACTTTCTGTGATAACTTCGACATCACATTCAGCTACATACTACTTACAAACAATCCTGTGAACAGCGTCCACTACAATGTGACTGAGTACTGAATGGATAATGAAAAAAAGTCTGTTAAGTAGAAATCAACAATCTAGATTATTGGTCAGAGAGGTAGAAATTGTCCTGTAAGCTTATAGTATGGGAATGAGCGTGGAAAAAACATGTAAAATTTTAGGCCTGCTCTTAATCAATTAGAATAGTATCGCTAAATGTAAATAAATTTGGCATAAATAATGGACCGATTAATACGTTCCCCAGGTTGCTATGTCCGTTAATACAGAATAGAAACGACACTTTTGTAGCCTGCTGATCTAACACTGGTTGGATGAATGTACGATGCTATTAACATAAATCTTCCATTTAACTCTGTATATTACCCAGGATAACCCCGTTTGTGTGATGGTGGTAGAAAGAAGTTAAATAGTAGTTACGTTGGAGGGATTTATTTCAAGTGCTCGTTTATCCAGACAGAAATTCAGAATAGGAAGCGGAAAGTCAAGCGGAGAAGGCGAATGAGCCAACTCCATCTGACCAAGTGTAACTCAATATTTATAGTCAGACTAAAATAGGCTACAGATATGTAATGGATAGGATAAGAAATGCATATACATACACTCACATAGAAACAAACAAGGTTAATAAGCGAGTGATTGACAAGTTCAAAATGTGACTAAAGAAGAATGAATAAATTGATCCGTCCAGAAGCCAAATAACACATATGGGCTTGACATGGTACTAGACACTACATCCTTATAGGTATGGATTGTCCTTCTTCTAGAAAACTTGATGTTACCTAAATAAATTTTTAAAAGTACCCAGATTTAGGATTACGGTTTCCATCGCGAAGTGACATCAGCTATGATGAAAAAATGAGTAGTAGCCTTACAGACGAATGAATTTTACGCGAAAACGCAAGGGACACTGTCTGATTTGTTCGTCCATAAAACAGAAAACCATCAGGTAATGATTCGTCCCAGAATTAAAGATTTACAGGTAGGATTTAATGATAATGTTGACCTGTCCGTTATACACAATATGCAAAATAATAATATACCATTTGGAAAGTTGTGGCAATCATCTTTTTATACTACAATGGTAAAAAAATAATTTTTCTTTATTATTTTGGACGATTTGAGCAGTATATAAAGGAATCTACTGTTTGTCATACGTGATGATTGGATTTTCCCTGCAAGCCTAAAAGTTATATCCTCGTGTGACTGGTCGTTGTTATTCTATACTCTTATGATATTTCCTACTTCAGATTTCGATCTATTCTGGTCTGTCGTCAGAACAATATAATTGGATAAAATATTTTGTTGTTTAACCAATCACCCAAGTCTATTTATTCATTCTATCATTGTTACTTTGCTTGAAAATGGATATAGAGTAATTTCTGATAAACATTAACGATCCAGTCTGGGGGTAGGAATCATATGTATTACCGATTCGTGCAATATCAGTACAAAGCCATTCAGGTTATCGTATTACAGCTTGGATATGCCAGTTGATTTAGTATTACCGTTCTGTTGCATATATCTTAGCTAAAACAAGACATACACCGTTAGCATAAGTCTCCAAAGTACCAATTTCGAAATGTGACTGTCATAATAGACTTGACTGATACCAAGAAACATTTTTGAAATAAATTTACCTTTAAGTTCGACTGGAAAGTATACGTATATTTCTTTATTAAAGCACATTGAAATGAGTAAAAAAGAAGTATTACAATCTAGAAATAATCTTAATTATCAACCAAGAACACAATCTAATTCACTATCTCATTATTAACCAGGATATATTAAGCATTTTTAAACTTGGATTTTAAGGCTCTTCATAACTGTCAATATTTTAATTAGGTTTATATGAGACTGATTTATGAAGTCTATGATATGTATATTATTGACAAAATCAATAGTTACAGTTACTATACATCTGTTAGAGTACTCATTAACAAGTATATAAAACACAAAATCACTTGCAATCGACTCTTCAATAAGGAATATTTGGTGTAAACTACTTAATTAATCAATAATAGATGAAAACCTGTTTGGATGTTTTAGAAGGAAAACACATTCGGAAATATTCTTCATGTTTCATCATTTGAGTTTAGTTTTAAGTGGGATAAAATATAAGTAATATATTAGTACAACGAAGCAAGAAATAAATCATTTATCAAGTTATCTGTAGTACGTCTTAACTTCATGCTGTCCTTCAACGGTGTGGGCTAATGAAATTACCTGGCTGTCCACATCAAAGTAGGTGGAGTGGGGTTCAAACCCTAAACTTGTTGATTCAAAGTCAAATGACATAACCGCTGATCCGATGAAGATTTGGTAGAGCTGTTATTCAAACCTATAATCATTCAAACTGGCGTCTGAAATTAGATCCATAGAACGCTCGAATACTCGAGTAATTTCATTGAATTTTGTGTGCAGAAGTAAAATTTGAACTTGAACAAAAACTATGATTCGGTTAAGAATCAATCTAGCCAAAGTTAAGGAAATATATTAAGGATTGAACAGGTTTATAACCAATAGCCGATTTGTGAACCCATTTTTAACCCAATCACTTCACTCAACCATAATATCTTGGTGCTATTATAGATTTAGCTTAGTGTATTTTGATCAATAAAATCACCGATATTAATGAATATATTATGTCTTCATGTTGAACAGTTAAAACCACTTTTCTAGATGTTCGATTGTCAACAATTTATGAAACCAAATGATGTCATTTATTGAGAAATACAACATATTACCAGTCATATATTGACAGTTGGAAAAAAGAAAACATTTACAAGTTTGCTGTAGTAAACTAGTCGTCAGTGAGCATGTAAGATAGTCGAGTTTCATGTTAGTTGGAAGTGGCTACATAGAAATCATCAACAAACTTAAATAACAACCTTTTTAGCAATAATTTCATTACGACACTTCGATCTAGAAAACGCAACAAACTTAAAAATGTTAAAAAGCCATCACAATTAAGAATTATTATCCTAATCTTAACGATGGTATAACACATCACACATTCAACAGACATTAAACTATTTCAACGTACACAGTAAATGCAGTTTATAATGACTAAACATACTAGAGAGAAGACTTTATATGTGTAGAAATATCAATAGAACCTAAAAAGGGACAATACAAGCGTACAATCAAACAACTAGAAACTCGTTGAGATTGAAAGGCAAATCAATGAATGAAAAAGACAAACAACGTGGACAAATAGTAAACAACGTTTATTTTGTTTTGCAATTCTAATTCACTTTTATTATATGTAATTGTGTCTGCATTATGTACTACTGATAACGATCATCATAGCAGTAGTATTCACATAACGATAAATAATATATTCATAGTTACATTAGTCATTTAAGATGAGAAATAGAGAGAAAGAGGAAAAAAGGACACATGGAAAAGACGAAAATCCACACAATAAATTGATTATAAAGGCATTCCAAGTCGTTCATTGAAAGATGAGAAATTTTTTCAAAAAGGCGTCAAAACGGGAAAAAAAACTAAAGTTCATAATTTAGAGAAGATGAAACTAAATTTTGTTGTTCTGATAAACTGACGTTTTAATTTTGTCGTTTTTTATAAAAGAAATCGAAACATATGGCTAAATGTTGCAGTTGTGTTTTCTTCGTGGAAAAACGGTGTACAATGAGAATCGTTACACAATTATTCAGTCGTCTCCTCAAGTGTTCCCACCGTATACCGTACATTTCAGAACGAAAGACGTATTGACATAAACAAACAGGTTCATACATTGACAGATGAATAGACAGAAAAAAGCTAAACTAATTTCATCGAAGAGATGTGTCATATTTATTATTATTATTATTACTATTATTATTATTATATGATTTAATCAGCTGACTAATTCATTTGATCAACTGAATACGTAAATCATATGTACGTTTACATTGTTACAAATATGATGAGTGTAGATCATTACGTAAACGTGAAAACATTGTGTTGATCTTCTGTTTCTTTGTATAGTTATCATTTATTTTTTGGTATAACAAATACTGATAAACTTCACTGTGTATGTAATAATTTGAGCAGATTTTATGAAATTATAATTGGTGTCTGCTGCCAATATATATGTAAGTATGTGCAAAAAATCATGTTATTTATAAGTAAGTAGGTGTTTATATATGTTGAACTTACTATTAAACATTGACGATAAACAAACAAGGTTGGCAGTACACATTCGATCAAAAAAATATGATAAAATAGTGACTGAATTTCAAGAAAATTTGCTACAAATTAAAAACACACAAGTAATTGATTAATAATTCCCGTATCCTTTCGAGGAAGAGAGAAAGAGAAATTCCGTAGGTAACCAAAAAGACAAACTATAGGAAATCGAAAAAAGAAGGAAGAAAGTAGTCCACCAATGATAAAACAAAGATGTGGAAAGGATAAGGAGAAAGAAGGAGAAGACAAGATGGATTTATGACATTCCAAATCCTTTACAATGTGTTATCGCCAGTAATAATGATTGTTGTAATTTTTCCAAACTTTGATATTCCGGTAATAAAAGAATGTTGAAACAAGTATGAGCAGACGGTAATCTGAAATGAAAGAAATCAAAATAATGGAAACAAAGTGTACACATACACAAAATGCCTACACATAACCACAACTTTAAAAAATTGTTTAGAAAAAACATGCTGCAAACAAATGAATTACTGAATGAATTCAAGAGAGATATCTTCAGGAGAAAATTTATTCATATGACAATATGATGTCACTATGCATAATAGTTGTGTGCTACCTGTACTATTCGTCTAAAATAATGTTTCTGTACCGAAAACCTCGATCTAAAAATTTAATTATCAATGGTGGGATGCAATTGTGAGAAAGCCCTAGACGACAAGGACAGTGTGTATGTGGGATTCTAACCACCGTTACGAAGTACAATATTCAGGCGGGATATCCCTGAGATTCTCAGTCGCTTACTAATCACTTGTACGATTAATAATCATTTTCACATTCTAATTAGGTACTTCGACAGTTTCAACTGAATGATAAAACACAGATTACTAAAGAGAGATGAACTTGGAAAAAAAATTGTGGGTTTCTTTAAAGTAAGAATCTGTGACAATAAAATGTAGACATTTATGACAATGTTTATTCAGAAAAGATTTATAGTTTAATATGATTTACCTTAGCAAGAAAGTGGTAAAATAGATTCATCACACAATTATGAGTTTCCGATAAAAAAGTTTTATTAACGCTCTGATATAGGTTAAAGCATTAAAACGTAAAAGCAGATGAGTTACAACCAAAATCCAATATCACAACATCAACTTTGGATTTAGTTAAGTACTGTCATTATCTATTATACATGAATACAATGGATTGTACTAGATAAGTTACGGTATATTATTGAATTAAAATATTTATAATAGTATTCTAGGTTTTATTCACTATGTGATACATGGAACTCATAGTTGGTTTTAACAGATATGAGTGTGATAATACGCAGAAACACTCGTATTTAAGGTGTTGTTTAATTCTTTGAAACTAACAAACAAGAATTTCACTTTGTAATTAATACAAATGCCCACATCTAAAGAGGTTAACTGGTAGAGTAGAGGGCGAACATTTAACTTGTATTTCGTGGATTTTTGATAATGTATTTAGTTCGATGATTAGCAAACTGGATACTAAAATGAATCTGCCATGTGAAAAATCAGTTGAAAACAGAAGATTAAAGTTGATTATAGAAATAGAAAAAAATTATTAGATAGTAAAGAAGAACTTGATTGTGAACAAGGTG